AGTTCGTGTTTTCATAATTAGAGGCTGATGCCAGTGGTGCAAGGCCGGGGCTGTGAGCCAGGACTAGGAAACAGGACGCACGTGTGGTTATTGGCTGACAAGCAACTCACAGAGACCCCGTGGGGCCTGGGCCCAACACAGCCAAGTGTGGCAAAGCATCAAAGCTCAGGAGGCAGAGGCAGAGCATTGACAGAAGCTTTTGTTTTTAAGATTTATTGGAGCAGGGGGGTTGGTGGCCCACGCCTTTAATCCCAGCACTCGGGAGGCAGAGGCAGGCGGATCTCTGTGATTTTGAGGCCAGCCTGGTTTACAGAGCGAGTTCCAGGACAGCCTCCAAAGCCACAGAGAAACCCTGTCTCGAAAAACAAAAAACAACAACAAAAAAAGATTTATTGGTTCTATGTTCGTGCATATGGGTGTTTGGCTTGCATGTATGTTTGTATGTGTAGGCGTAACGCGATCTCCGAGGGAGACGGGAAATGGCACAGGATGCAGGAACCCAATTTTACACTTGTATGTTTGAGTATGTGTGTGTGCATCTACTCGTGTCTGCACTGTGTGTGAGTCTGCGTGTGTGTATACACTCGTTTGTATGCACCCGAGTGCATGCATGTTTTTGTATAGTGGTCATGTGTGCACATGTTCCTGTTTGGGTGCACATATGCTCGAGTCCCCCCCATACGTGTGCTTGCATGTGCACTCATGTATGCTGTTGTGTGTGTGTGCGTGTGTGCGCACACATTTGTGTGCCTGTTTGTGGGTGTCTCCATGCATATGGGCATATGCAAATCAGTTGCTTTGAGTTGCTTTTCTTAGAAAGGCTAGAGCAGTGGGGTCTCTAAGTCTTGTCTGTTTGACCCCTCTCACCCCTCCCATCTTGCAGAAGTTTGCAGAAGGAACCCAGTTGTTGCATGGTGCGGTGGGACCCATGAGTGGCTCCACCTTGGTTTTGCTAGCTGGGTCTAGCACAGGAGTTTGGCGTAAACAGTGGCCTCCTATGAGTTTTATTATCTGACCATTATTACTATTGCTTTGTCTTTTAATTCAGTAATCCAGCATAGAGGGATGTGAACGCCAGGTGTTTTGCTCTGGTTGGCCAGAGACTGCCCACGCCCTCTAGCAGGCATGTTCTATGGTCACACTTCCCGGATGTTGCTGATAGGATCAGGGAGCGACCAGAGTCTCCTGCCCAGGAATTTCAGACCCTGGTGGGCCCCACTGACCAGAACCCCTGCTGGGACTGTTGCTAATACAAATATCTGGGAGATGGCTGGGGTTGAGGGGTGGGAAGCGGCTCTACCAAGCCAGTTGAGCCAGGGAAAGCTGGTTTGCGGAATACCAGAAGAAGAGAGAAAAGACAGACTCTGGAGATCACCATGGAAGGCCTCACCCTCCCTGGGGATCGGAGTGGAGATTGGGCGGGGGACTGGGGGGCCTGGTGGGAAGGGTGGGGGGAGGGAGGGAGAGAGAGGGAGAGGGAGCTGGGATTGACATGTGAAACAAGCTTGTTTCTAACTTAAATAAAAAAATAATAAGAGAGAAAAACTGGGGGTTCCGGAACTCTCCTTCCGTGACTTGACCCTTCTGAAGCCCCTGCAGCAGATCTCAGTGTTAGAAGACCCACATCACTGAGCAAGTGTGCCCAAGTCTCCGAGCACACGTTTCTGTCTCCCGTGGGTTTCAACTCACGCCTCACTCCCGAGTTATTCCCATGAATTTCTTCTCATCAAATTACGTCAGATCAGATCAGATTCTACAAGACAGTCACCTAGCATGACAGGGTCATCCCTGCGGTCTCCTTCGCTAGGCTGGGCTGCTGGGGGAGTCTAATGGAGGCCGTGTGTAGTCCTGGGCTTTCACCAAATACGCCAAGCAAACAACAGTGTTTCATATTTGACTCTGGGCTTTGACCCTCATGGTTTGTGTGTCTTTGGGTACGTTATTTAACTTTCTTGCTCTTTACATATGAGACAATGAAAACATACCATGTAGAGGAGGTTACAGGCTTAGCACAGAGTCTAACTAAGTCAGGGATCCATAAGTACATTCCTCGTAAGCCCTCCCCCTTTCTTCTGCCACCTTGTGAGGTTTGGAGGGACAGCCAGGGTACTGCCAGGGAGATTAGCAGCCTCCTTTTATGATCAGAATTGCTTCCTAGGCATAAAATGATAGAAGTGTGGGGGAGGGGGCATTTTACACACCACCCAGTATGGGGCTTAACTTTCTTCTTCCTCGATGTCCTTTCTTCTGAAAGTTTTAGGGACCCCTGAGAACACAGATGTACGAAACAGTAATGCAAACCACCAGACATTTGCCAATATTAAATCATAAGAAACATATTTTAAAGCAATTCTTTAGCATGCATACAGTTTTCCATTATTAAAGATGAAGTAAATTAGTATACTGGTAAAATGGATGTGCTTGTTTCTTTTTCATAAAGAATTAAATCTTGACTGAATATCTGTAGGTTATCATCAACATCTTTTGGATTTTAATTGAGAACAATTAATACAAACATCTGGCAGAAGTATGTTTTGAACTGTGGCAGAAATTGCTGGAAATTCTGCTCTAATCCCAAGCCAAATTCACTGAGCAATTTTTGTTTGGTTTTTCGAGACAGGGTTTCTCTGTATTGTTTTGGAGGCTGTCCTGGAATAGCTCTGTAGACCAGGCTGGCCTCGAACTCACAGAGATCCGCCTGCCTCTGCCTCCTGAGTGCTGGGATTAAAGGCTTGCGCCACCACCATCCAGCCACTGAACAAATTTTGTTTTTGTTTTGAGGGAGACTCTCTCGCAGGCCAGCCTGGCCCTGAACTTGTGTGTACATCTGGGGATGACCTTGCCTGTTGATGCTCCTGTCTCCATTAATGACTTTAAAAATGAAACTCAAGCCAGCAGCTTGCACAGCATTTCAATTTTCTTGAGACTATGCACCTAGTTTGAACAGGAACTTGAGGTAAGTCTCCTGCCTCAGTGTTCTTAGTGCTGGAATTATAGGCACAGCCCCCTGAGGCCGGGTTCAGCCCAGCCTGACCTCAGGCCTCCTCTGTTTCCGCTCACCACCTATAACTCCTCCTCTTTGTCAACCAATCTTGGCTCATACTTCAACTTCTGAGTTGACTGTCCCTGGCTCTGGTGACCCTTCCTCTCCCTAGATACAGCTGCTCGGACTTTCTTGTAAGCCTAGGTGCCGGAACAGTGTCTGGCAGGTCGACCGTGGGCCCCACAGCCCAGGCCGGATTCCAGACACACGGTTGATATCTGCTACATGCACCATCCCTCCCTTCTTGGCTGAAGGCCGGCCGTGCCCTCCCTGCCCCACCCCTCACCTTACCCTACCACGCCCTGCTGGAAGATGCAGAAAGGCCAGCTGTACCCAGTTCATGCATATTTAACCGAGACCAAAAATGCCATGGCTGAATGGTGGCGGCGCAGGCTCAGCAGGTGGGACGCAGAGGCTCACCCGCATTTACAGTGTACCCTGGGGCATGGCTGAGGATGCTGTCCCTTGTCCCCAGCCGTGGAGCCAGCGCTGGCTCTCATTTCTTTCTTTTTTTTTTTTTTTTTTTTTTTTTTTTTTGGTTTTTCGAGACAGGGTTTCTCTGTACTGTATTGGAGCCTGTCCTGGAACTCACTCTGTAGACCAGGCTGGTCTCGAACTCACAGAGATCCGCCTGCCTCTGCCTCCCGAGTGCTGGGATTAAAGGCGTGCGCCACCAACGCCCAGCGCTGGCTCTCATTTCTGTTGAAGAATCAAAACCCTCTTCATGGGGAAACCCTTCACTCTTGGGGTGTCCACGGGCAGGAAGGGGTGCTCCTACGGCTTCCCGGGATGCTGTGCGGCGTCCTCCTAACCCAGGAAGAGGAGCCAAACAGAAGCAGTGGCCTCTGAGGCAATGAAGACCTTCTGCACAAGCCCTGGGGCGTTCGCGGCAGCGAAGCGGAGGGAGCTCTATTTCCGCCTTCTAACACCCACTCGGGGATGCGACTCACTGGAAATCATGTGTTCCTGATTTCCACTAGTTTCTTCTCAAAAGTCCACGAAGAGGACCCGTTGATCTCAGTCTTTAATCCCAGCACTCGGGAGGCAGAGGCAGGCGGATCTCTGTGAGTTTGAGGCCAGCCTGGTCTACAGAGCGAGTTCCAGGACAGGTTACAAAATAATACAGAGAAACCCTGTCTCGAAAAAATAAACAAACAACAACAAAAAAAGGGCAAAATGAAACACCAAATTAGTGCTTCATATATGGTGGTATACCATGATGCCCTTTAACAAGATAAAGTCAAAAAAACCCAAACCAACAACAACAACAACAAAAAAACAAAAACCAATCAAACAACCAAACAAAAAAAACCCTAAGCCTAAAGTAATTGTGATGCTCATAGGGTTCTGCCAAGATCTACCCCCTTTCTCCCTTTCTAATCGTAATCCACAGTACACTGTAGCCGGTGCTGGGGTGACTTGAAGCTCTCAGATCATCAAAGCACCCCTATAGGAAATGCCAGCGGTTCCTGTATGAGGCAGATCTGAATGCCACCTCATCTGCCCAGCTCTGGAAGCTGGCGGTTGTATGTTAGTCACAGCCACTAGACCCGGGCCCTGAAGCGGCCCCTTGGGGAAGCCGTTTTCCTAGGCAAGCTGCCTGGCTCCGATGATTTAGGGGCAGGGTAGGGTGTAGGTGGTCACGACTTTCTGGCAGCTGTACACAATGTCCGTGCTGTTAGAGGCACGGTTCTTCACTTTGGGGGCTCAAGAAGCCCTCTGAAAAGAAAGAATTCGACCCTCCCCTCCCCGCCCCACAGAGCCACGCTTTCCTCCTTCAAAGTCTCTAGGATTCTGGCCTCTAGCCTCCAGGGTGACCCTGGCCGGAGAGGCTCTGGTGCTCCTCGGGGTCTCTCAGTACCCTGATTGCCTCCAATCCAGCCTGGCACCTGGGACCCCGGAAGGAGGCTGGGGCGGGGCGGGGCGGGGCGGGCGAGGCTCCGGACCCCGCCCACCCGCGGACCTCTAGGGAGAGCAGGAGCTGCAGGACTCAGGACGCAGCAGAGACTCTGGAGCAACCGGTGCGCTAGAGCCATGAAGATGCATTTCTGCATCCCGGTGTCCCAGCAGCGGCCAGACGCGCTGGGGGGCCGCTACGTGGTGGGTCTGGGGGCCCCGGGGCCGGCTGGGTGTGGAGGGGCTCGGTGACCCTGCGCGCTCCCGTCATCCTCCCCCTGCCCCAAGCATCACCAGGCTCGCCTTGGATAACCCCCGGCGGCGGGTGTCTGTGCTTTCAGCTGTACTCCGTGTACCTGGACGGGTTCCTCTTCTGCAAGGTACGCTACAGCCAGCTGCACCGCTGGCATGAGCAGGTGAGCCTGGTGGGGTGCCCGAAGGCTTGGGCTGTGTGTCTGAAAGACAACGGACGGACAGTGTGCGTGGTGGGGAGGGGGGCGCGGGCAGCCCGACCCCTGCTTTGTGAACCACACTCGCTCTTTAAAGCCCAGCGCAATCTCCTATGCCAACATCTCCGAACATGAGCTTGTAACATGAGCAGGACCATACCCACCTCCTTCCTCTGGCTCCCTGCACACGGCCCCCACGCCTCTCCCAGAGTGAGAGCAAGCCGGACAGGAGGAATTATAGAGGGTGCCTTTTTATGCCTTCTCCGGTTCCAGTCCTGACTCATCGGGCCCAGCTCCCCAAGTCCCTTTGCTGGCAAACCCAAGGCTCGCCAGCTTAACGGGCCACACTCAGAACGGACTGGGTTGTGACCCCTCAATGGAAAAGAGTCAGAGACTCAAAAAGCGTCTCTCGCAATCCAGGAGGACTTCTGGCAGGAAGGTGGCCTGAGTTGGGACTGGTTCTGAGATGGTCCAGGAGCGGTCTTTCAAGCAGAGTGTTGTGACGGTGGCAGATAGGAGCAGGGGGTGAGAGACCAGGGAGAGAGGAAGAGAAAAGCCGGGCGAGGTGTCTCATCCCTGTAATCCTAGCCCATGGGAGACTGAGGCAGGGGGATGGAGAATTCAGGACAGGGGGTGGGGAGGGCAGGAAAATCAGATTATGTGGCAGGGAGGAGCATCCTACTGTAGCAGGGGGAGCACCCTAACCATGGCAGGGAGGAGCACCCTAACCGTAGCAGGGAGGAGTACCATGGCTGTGGCAGGGAGGAGCATCCTACTGTAGCGGGGGGAGCACCCTAACCGTGGCAGGGAGGAGTACCATGGCTGTGGTAGGGAGGAGCATCCTAACTGTGGCAGGGAGGAGCACCCTAACCATGGTAGGGAGGAGCACCCTAACTGTGGCAGGGAGGAGCATCCTACTGTAGCAGGGAGGAGCACCCTAACTGTGGCAGGGAGGAGCATCCTAGCCGTGTCAGGGAGGATCACCCTAGCCATTTGAGTCCTGTCCTGATGCTCCCTGTGCAACCCTGGGCCCTGCAAATTGACATTGCCTTCACAGACTTCTCTATCTGGGGGAAGTAGCCCAGGCAAGGGGACAGAGGTGTCAACCAAACTGGCTGTATTCCTCTAAGGGCGCAGAGAGCTGGCCAGGGCAGCCACACGGCAGACATTTGCAGTTCAGTAGCAGAGGGTAAGCTGCCAGCCACCCAGGGAGTTTCACAGGGGAGTAAGGCCCCGGCTGACCATGTCAGAGAGCACAGGTCACACCTCGCCTCAGAGACACGCCCTTCTCTTTCCCAGACTAGCTCTCCACATACCCCAGCTGACAGGAGCTCGTGGCCACATCACCTGGACAGGTAGACCTACTTAATCTTACAGGTGCTCAATATGTGGGCTATAAATCCAGTCATTTTCTTCCTCCCTCCCTCCCTCTCTCCCTCCCTCCCTCCCTTCCTTCCTCTATTTCTTTTTGAGTCAGGGTCTCAGTATGTAGCTCTGGCTGTCCTGGAACTCACTATGTAGACCAGGTGGACGGACCCACCAGCCTCTGCCTCCCAAGTGCTGGGATTAAAGCTGTGCACCACTGCGCCTAGTTAAATTCAGTTCTTACAGCTGAAAACCACGTTGCTAAAGTTATAGTCTCTATTTACCATGACACACATGTAACAAGCTTCATACAGAGCTCTTAAGGAAATAAGACTGGAAAGGAATCTATGCTCCCCCACACACATGTACAACGCCTTTCCCTATAAAGGTGCTTTGTATTTGGTTAGATTAAGAATTTGGGGCTAGCAAAAAGGCTCGGTGGCACTTGCAGCAAAGCCTTGTTGACCTGAGTTCAGTCCCAGGGACTGACCTGGTGGGAGATGATCACCAACTCCCAGCAGGGACATTGGTGGCACATGCCTTTAACCTCAGCACTCGGGAGGCAGAGGCAGGCGGATCTCTGTGAGTTCGAGGGCAGCCTGGTCTACAGAGCGAGTTCCAGGACAGGGTCCAAAACAATACAGAGAGACCCTGTCTCGAAAAACAAAAGCAAAACAAAACAAAAAGATCGCCAACTCCTGCAGGCTGTCCTCTGACGTCACACCTGTGCTCCTCCACAAGAACCGAAAAAAAATTTTTTAAAGGATTTTGGAGCCATTTTACATCCATTTAAAAAAGGAGTGGGGAATAAAAACTGGGAGAGAAGGATCTGGGAAAACCCTTCAACTGTTTCATGCCCCTGATGGAGAAGACACACACACACTTACACATGCATACACAGACATACACACACATACACATATACACATACAAACACACTTACACAGACATACACACTCACACACACTTACACAACATACAAACACACACACATACACAAACTACACACATATACAAACATGCAGATACACACACAGACATACACACTTACAGACATACACACACTTACACACACATATACAGACATACACACACAAATAAGCAGATACACACATACAGACATGTGCACGCACATACACACACACACAAATAGACAGGCACACACATGCGCACTCCCTCTTGGGCATGCGTGCGCAAGCACACACATGCACAGACAGGCACACACATACGAACACACACACTCACACAATTGCACACCTACATGAATACACGCGCACAGACACACACGACTGTGCACTCACAGTTGCATGCACACACACACTCTCGAACACGCACAGCCACACACACACCACACACCAGGCTGAGGATGTACTCAGCTGGTAGAGGGCTTGCCCAGCACATTGGAAGCCCCGGGTTCGATCCCCGGTATTTTGTGAAGCAGGCATGGTAGCACATGCCTGTAACCCTGCACTGGGGAGGTGGAGGCTGGAGGATCAGAAGTTCAAGATCGTCTTCAGCCATGCACTGAGTTCAAGGCCAGCCTAGGAAACAAACAGAACAGATGACAAGAACAGCTGAGCAAAACGAGAAAAGCTCAAATAGTCTAATGACAGCAGGAGAGATGACCTCCCCTTCTGATGCCTTCCATGGAGTCTTGATGGAGGCTGAACTCCAGAAGTCTTGCTGAGCTAGTGGCTACAACAGCCAAATCCTGCTGAGCCCAGGTGAGGGGTCTGTGTTGGGCAATTGGGCTGTAGAGACGACAGTTTGACTTTTGGCAGAGTTTGCTCAGCTCACTGTACATTTCCCGTCCGGCCCTGCCCTCCCCCTCCCCTGCCCCTTAGACTGCATTCAACACAAAAGGCCAGAGGTTTCTTGAGGAACCAGTCCTTGCTGTAAAACCTGCTGGGAGGAATTCTGCCTGCCCTGTGACAGGCCATGGCGTCTTAGCCCTGCTGACCTCCCACTTCATGGCCTCAGGGCAGGGGTTCCCCTAGATCCAGTCAGGCAGATGGGTGACTCCGGCGGTCCTGTGGACTCGAGGCTACTGTGACTGGAGCCAATTAGGGAATGTCGGCGACGTATGGATATGCATCAAAGGAGACAGTTCCCTTTCCGGCATCCCTTAGCCAGCCGTCAACTAACCAAGAAGTGATGATCGCACTCGAGGAAGACGGATTTCCCCTTCTATTGATGGAGTGAGGGGAGACGGAGGATCTGGAGGTCCTGGTCGGTGGGGCAGCCCTGGCAGATGGTCCAGCAGCTGGGCCCTTTGACTCTTAGGCGTGGCAGGAACTTTCCTTGGGTTTAAAGGAAACATAATTGCCGTGAGGATGTTTGATACTGGAGCCAATGAGAGCTGAATATTAGACAGGGATTAGGGAGGCATGAGGCAATGGGGTACGGTGGGAGTTTTTGGTTGTTTATTCGTTTGTTTTTGTTTTTAGTTTTTCGAGACAGGGTTTCTCTGTATTGTTTTGGAGCCTGACCTGGAATTCCCTCTGTAGACCAGGCTGGCCTCGAACTCACAGAGATCCGCCTGCCTCTGCCTCCCGAGTGCTGGGATTAAAGGCGTGCGCCACCAACGCCCGGCATAAGCTCAATTTTTTTGTAGCAAGACTTTTAGTTTATAAAAACAATATAGAGTTCCCACACACCAGGCATTCAGTTTCCTCTACTCTTCAAAATATTTATTTAAAAACTGTTTTAAATGTGTATGCGTGTTCTGCCTGCATGTATGTGTAGTATGCGTGTGCATCATGTGTGCTGTGCCCTGAGACCCGACGACTGTTTGTCAGATCCTATGGGAGATGAAGTTACAGATAGTTGTGAGCTACCGTGTGGGTGTTTAGAACCAGACCCAGGTCCCCTGGATGAACACCAGTGCTCTGGACACCTCCCTAGCCTGCTGTCTTCTGTCTCAACATACCTTTAGTGTGCACAGTTGCTATAGTGACCCAGTCAGCAAGGATGCACGCTCACCTCACGGATAGCTTATTCAGATCTGATTAGCTTTTGTCTTGTAGAGAGAAGCCTTTTCCTAGCTAGTTGCTTTGGTTTTTTCCCCTGCCAGTAGCCTGGGCTCTGCCTCGTTGTAGTCCCCAAATAACACACAAGACGCTGTATTAATTATGAAGCTGTTGGCCTTGCTTGTTTCTTACTGGCTAGCTCTGCCTTAAGTATTTACTCCATAATTGTTAATCTAAGTATTTCTCTTACCGGAGAAAAGGGTCCGGACTTCTTACCCTTATGGCGGTTACATCTTGACTCCCTGTGTTTCTCCTACCCCTAGTCCTCCTCGACTCCTAGTCCCACCTATCTTGCTTCCCTATTGGCCAACAGCACTTTATTGACATATACACAGGGCTTCCGAATCATTGTCTAATATCCAATCTCTGCCCAGGACCCAGTACTTGGGGACCACGTTACTCAGACATAGTCACCAACAAGGGACATTGCACATCTAGTCACAGCGCCATCCGTACGTGCACCACACCGATCAGGGGTTCATAAGAAAGCCATCAGCACAGGTCATCCTAGGCTCCTGCTCTTGCCCGTAATCTCACCACGGCAGCGAGAAGTCCGACTGCCTGCCACTCGTCGGCTTCACCGCCCGAGTTTGCATGCTGTGTAGCAGCGTGGGAATCAGCACACACGCCCGTGGAAGACAACGTCATCACCAGCATAGCCCTTAATGCACAGCTGGTTTTCTTTTTGTGTGTGTGTGAGTGCATTCTTCCCGCGGATGTCACACCTTCCTGTAGTTTCGTGGTCCGTTGCTTCTCACTCACTCCTCTCGTTGAGGTGGCGCAGGATGTTTGCAACGGGGCTAGGTTCATCTGTCACGAAGCTGCTCTCCTGCCTAAAGGGCTCTTAAGATATTTGCGAATGTCAAGGTTGTGCTGTGAAGGTTAGCATGCCTGGACAAGTGTAGAGCATGAAGCCCACTTAGCCTCACCACCCTGAAATGTCCTATGCTTTTCCTGTTCGGTACCCTCCAGTCCCACAGCCCTGGTGACGGGTGATCTTTTTATTATCTCTATATTTTTAACCTTTCTCAGGTGGTCACATAATTGAAATCACACAGTAGCTTTTCCAGACTAGCTTCTCTCACTTAGCAACATGCGTGGAAGGTTCACCCGTGTCTTCCTGTTTCATGGATGAATGACGTCCTGTTGTAGGAATAGCTCACTGCTTTTACCCTTCATGTTTTGAAGGTCATCTCTACAGGGTTGCACACAGAGCTGCCATAAACATTTACAAGCAGAGCTTTGAAGATTTATTTTTATTTGCGTGGTGTGTGTGTGTGATGTGTGGTGTGTGTGTGTGTGTGTGTGTGTGATATGTATACTGTATGGGTACATGATGTGTGTGTGTGTCCACGTGTGCGCATGATGTGTGTGCAGGGGCCTTTGGAGGCCAGAAGAGGCTGTCAGAGCCCTTGCTGCTACGCTGCAGTAACTGCCTAGTGAGGTGCTGGGAACTGAACTCTGGTCCTGTGGAGGAGCGGTCAGTGCTCCCAGCAGCTGAGCCGTCTCCCTGGCACCACGCGAAGGTGTCGTGAGGACACGGTCCTCAGATCAGCTCAGTGGAGTGCTCTGAGTGTGACTGCCAGGTTCTACAGGGAACCTACGCTCAACACTGTAAGAAGTTACCAAACTGTCTCCTGAAGGGGCTCTACTGTTTTGTATTCTCTGCATGATGTGTTTTTAAATTCAAAGCACAAAAATAAATGCTGGCGTTGAACGTGGTTCTCTAAGAACCAAACAACAGCCGAGCAATGAGCAGCAGGAAGCCAGACAGTTAATAACTTCTCTATATTCAGACCGGCATTTGGCTGGTAGAAATTTTCTGGGCCAATAGAGGTGCTGTATATGTGCTCCGCCAATTTGGTAGCAGCTTGACACCTGTTACTGTCCATCAAACATGCGGAATGTGGCTAGTATGTGTGACTTAGCGACAGATTTTAAATTTTTATCTCATTGAAATAAGTCATGTGTAACTTTACTTACAAGTGGCTAATCGTATTCATATGGGTGTCATAGTTGTAGATCACTGGGAAGATTTTGCCTTTGACTTGGGGCAGGGGGAGGCACCGCCGAGGGTTCTTAGCTCCGAAGTATTTATTACCTGAGGTGCTGTGTTGGAAGGAGATAGGAGGCCACAAGGAAGCAGAGAGGCAGCCTAGACGGCTGCGTTACAATCCAGAAAGCAAATGTTAGCAGATTTAGCCAGCACAGTGGCATTGCAGTGAAGAGATCAGATTCTCCAGGTGTCCTTAAGCGAGCGACCGTGTGAATTATAACGATGGCAAAGGCAACTGAAATGAAACGGGAATTTAAGGTCTTGTCTGTTTGCTGTCTCCTTTGCCTTGCAGCTGGGTTCTGCTGTTTAAGCTCTGGAATCACCAGGTTTCAGCCGCCCAGGACTCTGGCTGTTTTCCTTCACTTTTAAAAATTATTTTTGTTGCATTGTATGTGCATGCATGTGTGTGTGCATGCGTGTGTGCATGTGTGGGTGTCTATTCGAATGTAGGCGCCTATAGAAGCCGGCAGCATCAGATCTTCTGGGAGCTGGAGTCACAGGCAGGTGTTAGCTACCTGACGTGGGTGGTGACAGTGAAATCTGAGTCCTCTGTAAGAGCAGTGTGTATTTTACCTTACGTGTCGTCTCTCCAGCCCCTAAAAGTTGTTTTTACTCATCTTCCATAAAAGTAACTGCCGCCGCAGTCTTAGGTTCTATACGTTGGGTAGGAGGAGACAGACAGCCTGGGATAGGGTCTCTGTGGTCAGCACTGTCCCATAGGAATGGCATGAACGGCGGATTTTTAAGCTTAGGTGGCCACACTAATTAGAATAAAAAGAGCCAAGAATGGTCACGCACACCTGTAATTCGACTTGGAAGGCAGACTGAGGAGGATCTCTGTGAGTTTGAGGACCGCCAGGGCTACACAGTGAGACAAATCAAAAATGAAAAAAAATCTGACTATAATCTCTGATCTTTCAGATATAGAACAGATGTAAGGGAATGTGCACTTTGAGCGGCAGGCCGTCTTGTAAAAATAGGAAAACATAGCCTGGCTTCGCCAAAGCAAGATTAGAGCTCGAGGCCTGCGATGTCACGGGGGCGACTGTGGAGTGTATGGTGGAGGATGTCCCTCCTAAAGGAGATGTCCTTCTCGTCCCCTGCCTTTGGCCACCAACAGGGATTGCTTTTTCTTCCCTTTTAAATACAGTGCTCCAAGGCGGGGCTTTCTGTCTCTTCCCCCTTGAGTGAGGTCTCACTTTGTGTCTTGGGGACCTTTCAGCTGAGACGAGTATTTGGAAACAGCCTGCCCCCTTTCCCGCCAAAGTACTATCTGGCGATGACTGCCTCGATGGCGGAACAGAGGAGGGACCAGCTGGAACGCTACCTGCAAAATGGTATGTATGTGCGTGAGCTCTGTCTAATAATAGCCGTGCCGCAGCGTAAATCCCTCGCCACAGAGCCATCTGTTTTACAGCCCTGATCCGGCATTTTCAGCACGGTTAAGCAATTGTGCGAGCCACCACTGTAATCTAGTTTTAGAATATTATCATCGCCCCCACAGGAGACTTTATGACTATTGGCAGCTGCTTCCCGGTTTAGCGTCCTCCCACCAGGCACAGGAGGCCTCCACTCTGGTCTCTCCACGCCTGCTGACTCTGGATGTTCCCGGCATATGTGACTTTACAATGGGGTGCTTCATGTTGAGCATGTAAAGTAGTTTAAGAATTATCCTGCACCAGGCGTTGGTGGTGCACGCCTTTAATCCCAGCACTCGGGAGGCAGAGGCAGGCGGATCTCTGTGAGTTCGAGGCCAGCCTGGTCTACCGATCGAGTTCCAGGACAGCCTCCAAAACAATACAGAGAAACCCTGTCTTGAAACAACCCCCCCCAAAAAGAGAATTATTCTGTAGTGTTGCATGTTGGTTCAACTGAGGAGCTGAAGAATTAAGACAAATGATGGGCTGAACTGCACTTGGGTGTAGGAAGTACCTCGGGACCCAGCGTGAGTACTCGTTGACTAACGGTCCTGGGATTAAAGACATGCCCACCACCGCCCGGCCTGACCTAGCTTTCCTATGGGGCCCAGAACCACTTGCCTGGGCGTGGCATCACCCGGGCGTGGCATCACCCGCAGTGGTCGAGGGCCTCTCCCATCAATTGTTCGTCAAGACGTTACCCACAGTCGGGTCCACAGGCCCATCTGATCAGTCGGGAGTGCACCGTCACACAACTGACAGTGAGTGTTGACAGGGTTTCCCTCTGGCCTCTGCACATGCGCATGTACTGGAACACACATGTATGACACACAGACTCACACGTACCAGAACACACACATACAGCACACATACTCACATGCACCAGAACACATATGTATGACACACATACTCATATGTACTAGAACACACACAAACAACACACAGACTCACATGTACCGGAACACACACATACAGCACACACTCACATGTACTGGAACACACACATACAACACACAGACTCCCATGTACCAGAACACACACTTATACAACACATAGACTCATATTCAATGAATATTTTGGAGCATGTGTGCTCATGTGTGTGTGTGTATGTGCATGCACGCACAGGCGCACGCGCGCGCACACACACGCGCGCGTGCGTGTCTCATGTTGTGCACTTCACCTCTTTTAGCTTTCAGGGAACACACAACCCTGCTGGGTTCAGTTCAGCCCTATGCTAATGTCAAACACTATTGGATGTTGTTAGAAAAGAGGAGAAGGAGCCTAGAGATGTAGAAGTATGAGTTTAGCTCAGGAAGGAGCCTGAGGGGAGCAGCCTGGTCCCTTGGGGACTTGGGGACCCGATCTTCTTTGGCTCTGCTCTGTGCCCATGGCTGCTGGGCCTAGAGTTTTAAAGCTGAGGGGAGGGAGAGATATTTTTGTCTAAGTCAGGAGTGAGACGCTTTAAATCTCTCTTTGTCACTTAACTTTTCCATGTGTATTTAATTGCATTCTGTGCATGTGCGTGCTTTGTCTATTTGCATATATGTGCACGTGTGTGCGCCTTGGAGGTCAGAAGAGGGTGTCGGATCTCCAGTAACTAGAGATGTGCACGGTTGTGAGACACCGTGTGGGTGCTGGGAATTGAACCTGGGTCTTCTACAAGAGAGACAAGTGCTCATATCCACTCAGTCATCTCTCCAACCCCTTGCTTACACACACATGCAAGCACACACACGCACACGTACACACATGCACACGCATGCACACGCACACACATGCATGCATGCACACACACACGTGCACATATAGAGATGAAGCCAGAGCCTTGCACACTGTATCACTGAACTAAACCCCCAGTCCGTGCTGCCCCTCTGGGGGTAGCCTCTTGAGAGCTCCTATCACGAGACGAGGCGCGTGCTTTGGGCATACTTACAATTTCAGATTACTAAGTGAGTTACCAGACTGGCTGTCTAGACCCAACGTGTAGTATACTTTTGCTTCTTACAACAGTTTCATCATCATCCCAGAGGATGATAAGGTGGTTTCTGAGCCGTCTGGGTAGCTTGAGTCGAGTGAGGTTCCTGGGAACACCAGGCCACGTCACGGGGCAGACTCTGTCAGCTGCCCCGCACTGAGGCTTCTCTCTTACGTTCTGGAAGGTCACACTGCAAGGGCAAGATCTCAGAACTCCTGGGAGACTGCAATGGACAGAACTCCGCCCAGCTCGTGCTAACTGGCTCGCTTTCCATGCTTTTCAGTAACCGCGGACCCTCGTGTGGCGAGAAGTGACGTCTTCACCGAGTTTTTAACGTTGGTGCAGATGGTAAGGGCTCCTCCGCAGAGCCTGTCTGCGCCCCGCGAGCACAGGCTTTCTGGACTTGGGTGAAGCAGAGTCGTTTCTAGTAGGCTGGAGGCTGCTTCCTGCTCGGATCCTGCACGGGAGATGGAGTGTGTCACCAGACACTTGTTCTGTAGCCTGTGTGCCGAGCGTCCCCACGCTGGTCCCAAGAAAGGCAGAGGAGCTGGAGTTTTAGCACTCGGGACCCCATAATGAGATGAGACCCAAGGGCTGAAGCCCAGGTGTCCAAGGGCATCAAAGGCAGACACTGGGGCCCTGCTGTCTGCTGTCTGTCTGTCCGTCTGTCTTCCTAACTTTGTTCATGGAGAACACTCAGTCTCAACAGAGTGGCTTAAAACATCTCCCTTTCCATGAACCGGGAGCCACTGGTCACTTAGCGCCTAGGCTGAAACCTTGGTGAGCCATAGCGTGCCTTTCATTCCCCTTGCGTGCGTGGAAGCATTTTTTTATGCCTGTGCTTGAGACCAGATGAGCAGTCGTCTTAGCGATGGTGAATCTGGCTCAGGAGGGAGGTGGCGATATTTTGATTTCTTGGGGTGATGCATTCAGACTCCCCTCCCTTCCCTTCCTCTTCCCTCCCCTTTAGGGGTGCTTGGGAGCATCCGAAATGAGTCGGTTCTGAGATTACCCAAGCAAGATGTGGATAGTTTTTATCAAAAACCTTTCCCCCTCTGAGACGGATGCTCCCTTGTTAATTTGGAAGCGATGCAGACTTCACACCCTTGCCTTGACGCCTCCTCTCCGCTACTCTGTCCCTCCATTAAATCTCTGGGCGTTTGCTCCCTTCCCTTCTGTCTCCCTGCACACAGTGAGGACAGGCGGTGGCTCTCTCTGTGCCAGGCATGGAAACTGATGTCTGCCGTCTTACTTACAGCACACATCAAACATCCCCACCAAGAAAACCGCTCTGCCTGTGTTTCTGCCCAACGGAAGGAGGATGAACGTGGAGGTTCTCACATCGGACACGGCCGAAAGGGTCCTCGAGGTAAACTGTGCTTAGCTTCAGCTCCCGGAAATGCAGAAACAGCCATCAGGAGGTGGGGACTTGAATGGGGTTGCCTTCCGGAAGTTCCCTGCCTGCCCTTTTACTCTGTGGATGATCTGCCCACAGAGGTGCGGCATATAAGTCACCCCGAAGGGAAACTGATCGAGGACATCAAGGCATAGCCCATCCTCGGGGATCCCCTTGGTTTTACACTTCCCGAGGCCTCTGGGGTTTTCCTAAGGTTGTGGCTACTTCCCTGGCATTCGCCAGGCTGGGCCCTGGTAGTGTGTGGAAGGGTCTGTCTCAGGGTGTTGCATAGAAGGGAACGGGAAGTCGGGCAGTGCCTGGCAGAGACTGGGACAGACGGTGACTGGCAGAGAGTGGCAGGGGCACTTCTTTCTTGGTGGGGCAGGCGGTCTTTCTTGAAGCCGTCTCCAGAAGCTGCATCCCATCAGCCACTCTGACTCCCGGGCCGTATCCCTCAGGCCCAGCTGGGCTGCCCAGGGAATGCTGTCTTCCCCAGTCTTAAATGCGTAGGGCTAGGAGAAGGAAGAGAGGGGTGTGGCCTGTGGTCCGCGCCCAGGGAAAGTGAATGGAGGTAGAGTTTTGTGAGGCTACGCTCTTGTGGTAAATATGAAGCCACAGATGTTTGACACATGGTGTCTGGGAGGAGAATCCCGGCCTGGAGTTGGAGGTGTCCAACGAGCGAGCCGGGTCAGAGAAAGTCACACTTGACGGGATCCGAAGTTTACGCTGGACCAGAGCCACGGTGAGTCACACTTGGCCGTGGCAGGAAACATCAAAGAGAAGGAGAGGGCTGGGTGCCAAAGGGGGTTCACCAGTGCGTGCGCATTCACACCGCCCCCCAACAGCGGGGAATGCCTTTTGCGTGGTGCCCACAGGAAGTGCAAGCCCCAGGGCTAGATGCCACAGGGAACAGGAGCTTGTGGAGAAAGCTGCTGTCCTCCCTCAGACGCTAAGCTCTGGAATAAATGATCCGGGACATACGGGGACATACGTCCAAATCCAAGACAGGACAACCACAGCGTCGGCAGAGCCCAGCGTGCCCGCTGAGGTGACATCAGCTTTGTTCCCGTCACTACAGTTTCCTGTCTCCCCAAGACTTTCCAGAGTGAATGTTTCCTTAGCTGCTTCTCTCAGTCCCCCCAACAGGAACAGTTTCAGGGAGGAAGCTTGGTCTTGGTTCACGGTTTGGGAGAGTGCAGTCCATCACGGTGACAGGGGTGTGCAGCTGTGGCTTCTCACGTCCCCCGGCAGACAGGGATTTTAGGTGACGTTTCTCTGTGTCCCGTCAGCCGCTCCCACATGTGCACACAGGGACTTGATATTGGTTATAAATGCTAGGCTGATAGCTTGGGCTTGTTTCCAGTCAGCTCTTACAGCTTCAATTAACCCATTTCTTTTTTTATTTTATTTATTTATTGTGTATACAGTCTTCTGCCTGCATGACAGCAAAGGGTACCAGATCTCACTCAAGGTGTTTTTGAGCCACCATGTGGTTGCTGGGAATTGAACTCAGGACCTCTACTCTTAACCGCTGAGCCATCTCTCCAGCCCCAATTAACCCATTTCTATTCATCTACGTGCCTCCCCGAGGCTCATTTACTTCATCTACGAACTTCTCAGGTTGCTTCTTCTGAGTCTGGGTCTCACAACTCCTCAGACTCCACCCTTCTTCTTCCCAGCATTCTCTCTGCCCTGAAAATCCTGCCACCTCTCGGCCAGCCAGCTTTTTTATTAGCAATGACCGCAACACATTTCCACAGTGTACAGAATTATTACTCCACAGCACAGGACAGAGAATCTGGGCTAAAAGTAAAACTGACCCATAACCTTTAAGTCCCGGCCCCACCAATTCACGATGGCTCCATGCCCCAAATCCACGGCTCTATTTCCACAGTCCCCAAATGCAGTCGCCACCGGCTGGGTACCAGGAGTTCAAATTCGTAAGCCCATGGAGGCCATTTAAGATTTCAAACTATGACAAATGTGAATGGTTTTTAGACCACAAAAGCGTTTCTTCGAACGTCTGCTGGCCTGCGGAAGGAAGTACTTGCTGTTGGCGTGCGTTGGTCTCTTCCGGTCCTGCTGCCACATTCTGGAAGCATGGCCATTAGCCTAATTACCCACCCCCCCCTTTCTTGTTCCTGGCTAAGGTGGTGGCGCACAGACTAGGACTGTATCCAGAGCTCTTGGGCTACTTCGGCCTTTTTCTCATCCGGTGCTTCCCCGAGGGCAAGCTCTCTGGTAAGATGGAAAAGAAGAGCAAAGGAGATGGACGGGTGTGAGCAGGGGGCTTGGCCCTGGGGCGTGAGGGGCACCCACAAAGGGACTGGGCACCCCTCGGGTCACGGTCTCCAAAGATTCGGGGGATGTAGCCAGGTGCGGCGTTAATCCCAGCACTTCGAGGGTAGAGGCTGACGGATCTCCGTGAGTTCAAGGGCAGCCTGGTCTACATAATGAATCCCAGGACGGTCAGCGCTTCATAGTGAGACCCTGCCTTCAAACAAACAAACAAACAAACAAATAAACAGAGATCTGGAGAGCGAAACAGTGTGCCGTTTCTCGGAGAGTAGGGACTGAAGACTCCCCAGAGAGGTAGTGTGTCATTTCAGTTTCATATTGTGGTGACACAGACGGAAGGTCCGGGTGGAAACGGGCAGACAGGAGCATGTGGACAGGCAGGCGGACAGACGGACAGACGGACGGACGGACGGACGGTCAGACAGCTGAGTGAATGCGTGGGCAGGCAGACAGCAGCTGACAGCAGCCAGGTGGGCTCCATCTACATCAGGGACCCAAGGCGTGTTGAAGGGTCAGCGGTAGTTTAGCTGGGAGTTCTCTGGGGAGTCGTCCCCGGCTACACACGCAGGGTATCAGATGGCAGGTCGGTGTGGGGTTAGCATCACTTAGGGGATCCAGGGTGGGGCCGGCGTCACTTAGGGGATCCAGGGTGGGGCCGGCGTCACTTACGGGATCCAGGGTGGGGCCGGCGTCACTTACGGGATCCAGGTGAGGGAGCTGCACCCTTTCCTCTCTCTGCTGTGTCCAATAGGTTTCCGAGCCGTGCCTCCCCAAGGTCACTTTCATATGCCCACGTGCCCCTGCAGCCTCAGTTCATTCCGCTTTGGAGTTTGGGGCAGGCCCTCTTTCCACCGCGAAGAAAACAGTCATTTCTCAGTCCATGCTGGATGGGCGATGCAAGACCCTCAAAACAAAGCAGACAGCAGAACAAAGAACGAACCCCAAACAAACAAACCAACAGAAAGCTGAAAATGGGGATCCCAGGGGCGAGGCGCAGGCCGTGAAAAGGACTCGGTCCTGCGCGGCGCGGGGTGAGGGGGAGCAGGGTGAACCTGACCTCCACACTGCCTTTCGCCTTGTAGTTGTGAAGAAGCTGGCCGACTTTGAGCTGCCTTTCGCCAGCCTTCAGGCCTCTGAGGAGGAGGACTGCAGGATAGGACTGAGGAAGTGGTAAGGACCTGCGGGGGAGAAGCCGCTGTGTGTGTGCGCGCGCGTGTATGTGTGTGTGTGCGCGTGCGTGTGTGTGCGTGCATGTGCGTGCGTGCGTGTGCACGTGTGCGTGCGTGTGTGTCTATGTGTACGCGTGTGTGTGTGTGTGTGTGTCTGTGTGCGTGCGTGCCTGCATGTGTGCATGTGTGCGTGTGTGTGTGCGTGTGTGTGTGTGTGTGTGAGCTTGTCAGCCCGCCCGCAGCCTGAGAGGCAGACACGGAAGCAGGCGGAGGAGACTGAAGCAGGTGACGTCGGTGACTGTGCTGTGGGTGGGTGAAGGATTTATTGGTGACTACAGGCGGCCCTGGCGTCTGCTGAACCGCGGTGCCCCTTGAGGGCAGTGGGGGGGCGACTCAGCCAGTTTGCACTGAATTTGCCCCCCCCCATAAGCACTCAGCTCCCAAAGGCTCTGAGCTGCCAAGGCCACCCGTATTTAATCCCTGCATTAAAAGGACAGCGCGTCTCTGTAGAGAATGCTGCTGTTTCTCTGGGAAGTGGAAGTCCTACCAAGAACCAATGAACAGAGCGTCACAGCGGAAGGGGGGAGCCTGCTTTCCCAGCCCCATCCTACAATCCGGGACCCCAGCTTTTGTCACTACGACTTCGGCGAATTTGCCGCTCAAGCTGGCTCCATCCAGCTCAGTTATTCTGTAATCTGAGGATACAAACCCAAAAGAGAAAAAAACAAAAAACAAAAAACGGCATCTTGAAGTCTAGGCATAGTGATGTACTTGACCCAATGCTGGGTCTAGCTTGTGGCTTTGGATTTTGAAGGGCTAGGCCCCGGCTATTGAGAGACTTCTGAGAAACTACTAAAACCTCGTGTCTGAGCGGGGCTGTTCCTAGATTGGAGGGCACGAGCTTAAGTCCCAGCTTGCCAAGTTATGCGCGCCCCTTGAGCCTCGGTTTACCTACCTGTAAAATGGGAGAATAACCCTCCTAGGACTACTGTGGAGATCAAAGCATGCTCAGTAAATCTTGTTCATGTTTGTCACTGCGATATGGGTAAGACCAATGACAGAAGCAATGACAGAAAATCCCCGGGGGGGGGGAGCTTAGACTTCTCAAGTTCACACCCGTTCCTGGGAGCCGGACACCAAGGAGTGGTGGGGACCCTTCCCCTCTCCAAGAAGCCTGAGTCAGACATTAGGCAGTGACTAAGTCGTCCTCAAATAGCCACATCCCAGGCACCCGCATGCAAACAGCAAGGTAAATCCCCCCCCCCCGCATCACCACCAGCTCCTCCGTTCAGCAGGCCGCTCTGGAGCTGAGGGTCAGATTTCCACCGGGGAACGAACACCCTGGGGTATCCTCTGGACAGGGGAGGCCTGCTCCAGCAGCCTCTGATGGGTGGGGCCTGTCGGTAGGGCCTCACTGGAGTTGTAAGGATTTTTCTTCATTCGGGCCTTCCCTGAGCGCACCTCTCCGGCGATGGTATGGGTCCTTCAGAGGGCGTTGGCCCTGGCAGCTCAGAGCCTGTGTCTGGAGTTTCTTTCCCGCCAGGTTCCGCCACCCTATAAACTGTTGGCCGACGACTAGGGCTTCTTACTGGCTAGCTCTGTCTTCATTATTAACTACTCCGTAACTGCTCATCTGTGTATTTCTACGCGGCCTTATCTTACCAGAGAACGCCTGGTGCGTCCTGTCTTCCCGGTCTCTACATGGTGTCTCTTCGCGGCCTCTCTCTCCTCTGTCCCCAGCATTCTCCTCGTTCTCCTAATCCCGCCTATATCTTCCCCCACCTCTCCTGGCCAATCAGTGTTTTATTCATCAGCCAGTAAGAGCAACACATCCACAGAAGGACACCCACCCCCATCATGAGCCCAAGCCTGGAGTGTGCCTCCGGCTGCCCGACTGTCATGCGGTTCCTCAGCCACGTAGGGCTTTCCGGGGACTGTGGACACGCAGCTCAAGGGAACGGTAGTCGGCGTGTTTCGGTTGCTTCTCTCTGCCAGTGTGAGCGTGACTTCAAACCCCGTTCTCACCCTCCCGTGGTCTGATCTAGCTCTCTGTGGTCATGCCATTCAGGGAACGGCTTGCTTGTGTCTTCTGACGAGTTCCACGGCACCCACACCTCCCCTTTGCATCGCCAAGAGAAGAGGGGGCGCTGGGGAGCAGGCTTTAAGAGGAGGGATAGGAGGAGTTGAGGCATTGGCCTCGGAAGCAAGGGCAGCAGGAGGAGAAGGGGGCAGGGAAAGCATGGCTGGGACGTCCACTTGGCTGGGATCAAAGGGAAATGACTGCAGAGGCGTCCCACGAGTGCCTGAGACGTGAGCAGGTGGATGGTCCCGGTCCCACAGCCCCAAGAGATGAAGGCTACTCGGGAAAAGTCACGCCAGCGGGAACACGGAGCAGGGAGCCCGCTCTGAGCCTGCCGTGGGACATTTCCTGAGCAGCTCCAGAGGCAGGGGAGGGTGGGCAGGGGCAGGGTGTTGAGTGTGGATGGCATGGGTGGGGCAGGTGGCCGGGGCAGGCGTTACGCAGTGGGGAATGGCGGGCTGCAGGGCTTGGTGGCCGAGACAGTGACTGAGTGTGAACAGGGATGCTGAATGGGTTCCCATAAAGCTCTGTGTGTGTGTGTGTGTGTGTGTGTATCTCTGTGTGTGTGACTGACCAAGCGTGAACAGGAGTACACACCATTCCCATAAAGCTCTCCCTCTGTGTGTGTGTGTGTGTGTGTGTGTGTGTGTGTACGTGAGACTGACCAATTGTGAACAGGAACACACACCATTCCCCTAAAGCTCATTCTCTGTCTGTCTGTCTGTCTGTCTGTCTGTCTGTCTGTCTCTCTCTCTCTCTCTCTCTGAGACCTTTACCCTAGAGCATGCATAAAAGCCCACAATATAGAGGGGGCAGGACAAGGACCCAGAAGGAACACAGGAATACATCAAATCCTAGACAAGCGCAGCAGTGTAGTTTGTGAGAGACGGGGACCCGGTTCCCAGGGTGGAGGGCTGCTGCCCTTTAGAGCATCTACCCTGGGCATGTCCCCTAGGCATGTCCCACAGGACCGTGTCACCATGCAGGTACCTGGACCCGGCCCTGGACTCCGTGCTGATGGACTGCAGAGCCGCTGGAGACTTGCTGTACATGCAGGTGAGGTCGTCCGTGGCCGCTGGGGTTGGGACTGCACACCTTTCCCTAGGGGCCGAGAATCCGTGTAGAACGGCAATTGGTAGACACGCTCTAAGTGGACGTTCCCAGGGACTGGGGGTGTGGGGACGGGAGGACAGCTGTTGTTTAATGGGTGTGCAGTGTTTCTGTTGTTGTCTTTTTTTTCCTTTTGGTGTCACTGTTGTTTTGTTTCGCTTGTATTGCTTACAACAGAGCCTTCCTGTGGGGCCGAGGGTGTCCTTGAACTCCTGATTCATCTGCCTCGGCCTCTGAGATGCTGGGGTTAAAGACACCGAGTCCCTCTTCTCTCCTCCAATTTGGAGTGTTTGTTGGGAACGGTGAGAGGTTTTGGTGTTTGCAGTGGTAACGATTATGCAGGATCAAATGTATGCAAGGCCACTCAATTGCACCCTTCAGGACGGTTAGAGCAGGGGCTGGAGAGGCGGCTCAGGAGTCAAGGGTACGAGATGTTACTACAGAGGACTGGGTTGTTGCATACAGCGGCTCGCAACCCTGACTCTGTTTTCAGGGATTTGACACCCTCTTTTGGTCTCTACAGGCATCAGGAACCCGCATAATGTGCAAACCTGCCTAGCTACCTACCTACCTATGTACGTGTATATGTACAGGCACACACTCACACACGGGAAAAAGCAAAGGAGCCAGGTGTAGTGTGGCACACGCCTGTAATCCCAGCGCTGGGGAGGCAGAGGCAGGAGGATCAGAAACTTGAAGTCATCTTTGGCTTCATAAGTGAGAGTTCAAGGCCAGCCTTGAATTCATGAGACCCATTTAAAAAATTTTTTTAAAGGTATTTACTTTTACTTTATGTGCATTGGTGTTTTGCAGCCCTGCGTATATGACTGTGTGAGGGTGTCGGGTCCCCTGGAATTGGAGTCACAGACAGTAGTGGGTTCTGGGAATTGAACTCAGAACCTCTGGAAGAGCTGCCAACGCTCTTACCCTCTGAGCCGTCTCTCCAGCCCTTAAATTATCTTGCTTTTTTTTTTTTTTTTTTTTTTTTTTTTGGTTTTTCGAGACAGGGTTTCTCTGTGGCTTTGGAGGCTGTCCTGGAACTCGCTCTGTAGACCAGGCTGGCCTCGAACTCACAGAGATCTGCCTGCCTCTGCCTCCCGAATGCTGGGATTAAAGGCGTGCGCCACCACCGCCCGGCTATCTTGCTTTTTTTTTTATGTACAACAGCAGTAACAGCTTTGTCGATAGACTTACCTTTTTCTTTAAGACAGGATCTTACTGTAGGTGCTCTGTAGACCAGACTGGCTTTGAATTCACAGGACCCTGCTGCCTTTGCCTCCCGAGTGCTGAGGTTAAATCATGCATTACTGTGTCAGGTTCCTTATATTTATGGATGTATTTACGGTTTTAGGTTTGTATTACCACATCACCTCTAGAAAGCCACGTGAATGAAGTTTGTTGCATATCACATTGTTTCTCCAAACCCCTGTCAACCCTAGTTGTGTGTTTTAGCCTTGTCAAGTTGAGAGCAAGAAACTCTGTGTATACGTACATATTTGCCATTTGGAAATCCTTTAGTCAGCTGTCAATACTGATCTACTGTCCATTTCTGGTGATTTTTACATTTGTCCTATTCTTTTCCATAAATGTTAACCCTCTGTCCCATTAAGTACCTGCTTTTTAGTTTTGTTTCTTGTGTCTTGTGTACAGAAATGTGTACTTACATGTAACTACATATGATCATTTCTGCGTTCTGCCACCATTATTTTAAAAAAGATAGTCCTTCCATCAAGATAAACAGATTCATTTCTTTTAACTTTTTGTTTTGTTTTGTTTCTTGTTTTTTTCGACACAGGGTTTCTCTGTGTAACAGCTCTGGCTGTCCCGGAACTCACTCTGTAGACCAGGCTGGTCTTGAACTCACAGAGATCCGCCTGCCTCTGCCTCCTGAGTGCTGGGATCAAAGGCGTGCTCCAACACCGCCCACCATATTCATTTTTAATTTTCTACTTTAAAAAAAGATTCACTTCTTGCTGGGCGTTGGTGGCGCACGCCTTTAATCCCAGCACTCGGGAGGCAGAGGCAGGCGGATCTCTGTGAGTTCCAGGCCGGGCTGGACCGACAGCCTCCAAAACAATACAGAGAAACCCTGTCTCGTAAAACGAAAATAATAATTATAATGATAATAATAATAATAAAAAGATTCATTTCTTAAAATCACGCGTGTACAGGTGTCCGTGTGGGTTTGTGCGCGGAAGCACAGGTGCCTGTGATGCCCAGAGGCGTTGTCCCTGGCACTGGCGTCACAGGTAGCCAGGGACACAGGTGACAGGAAGCCAGGTAGCCACGCGCCACCTCACACAGGTGACAGGAAGCCAGGTAGCTGCACGCCACCTCACACAGGTGACAGGAACTGAACGCTAGTCCTCCAAAGGATGGCGCGCTCTGTTAATGTTGAGCCACCTTTCGTGCCCCTTCTCTGCCTTTTAACAGAGCTTTACGTGTTAATCTCTTGGGAGTTATTTGACTAGACGATGTTGAAGTTGCTTTGACTTTCTTTGCCAAGTGTTAAAATTGTCCCCAACTGTAGATCAGTTCTTGTCCTATCTGCTCATTTAATTGACCTCGGCCAGCTGTGGGGGAACATCCTGGTAATCCAGGCACTTGGGAGGCTGAGTCAAGGGGGTCACGAGTTTAAGGCCAGCCTTAGCTACAGAAAGAGTGCTCAATATTAAGACCTGGTCTCAGGGCTGGAGAGATGGCTCAGAGGTTAAGAGCACTGGCTGCTCCTCCTAGAGGACCCTGGTTCAATTCCCATCACCCACACGATGGCTGACCACTGTTACTCCAGTTCCAGGGGACCCAACATCCTCACACAGACACACATGCAGGCACAATACCAATGCACAGAAAATAAAAGTAAATTTTAGGAATACCCTGTCAAAACACAAAACAACCAAAAAGCAGTCTTTATAATCTGTCAAATCATTGTGTAGATCCATTCAGGTCTAGTTTTTTTTCTTAACCCTTTGTACAGGTGAATTCATTTCTACTAAGGTTGCTAATCATATGATTATGTTGTTTTAAGGCAGTACAGGACCTTGAAATAGAGTGGGTGAAGCCCACACAGGCTCAGAGGGAGGAACTCAAGGCCCTCCGGGAGAAGGAGAACCAAACGAAGGTGAGTTAAGCATTGTACCAAGAGCCGTCCGTCCCTTGCAAGCGACTCCAGCACACATTAGAATCTGGCTGTCGCTATCATTCACAACAACACGCATTCACTCGGCTGTCTGTCTGTCTGTCTGTCCATCCGTCTGCCTGTCCACGTGCTCCTTTGCGATTGTATTATCGTTTAGTTCCCTTTAACCGGAAGCCAAGCTGCTAGTGGCGTTCACGGCTATGCGTCACTTTGGCAGCGTGCACCACAAGGCCCAGGACTGCCCCTAATTTTTGCTTCCTCATCCTATTCCTGTGTGAACTTGTGGTGACGGGACAAACATGTTGCCAGCACACGTTACCGTGTCCACACGTGTAAGGAGGCCCAACCGATGGGCACAGGTGTAAGGAGACCCAACCAGTGTGCACACGTGTAAGGAGACCCAACCAGTGTGCACACGTGTAAGGAGGCCCAACCAGTGTGCACACGTGTAAGGAGACCCAACCAGTGTGCACACGTGTAAGGAGGCCCAACCAGTGTGCACACGTGTAAGGAGGCCCAACCGAAGATGAATGAGATGACCCAAAGCAGCTTGATGTAAATCAGAGGTGAGCTAACTACGGCTTGTGGCCCACTGTTCTTACGAATAAAGTTTTATTGGCACACAGCGACGCCTTTTCACTTAGGTCTAAAGTCATATTTTTTTTGTGCTGCAGTGAAAGAGGTACAAAGTTGCTACGGGGATAGTAGGTTCCCTAATGCCATGCTGGAGACCTTACACATGCTAGGCAAGTGACCACACTGAGCCACACACACACCCGGCCTCTATTATATGTTTCTGTAAAGAAGAATCTGTGAATCTCCAAATGAAAATGAGTCAACATGCCACCCATGGCTATGTGTGTCGAGTTGACCTCTTACGGTAGTTTATCTTACGTAAGAGATTTGTTTTTTTTATTATTTATTTGTGTGCGTATGTGTGCGCGCACGTGCGCGCAGGTGCGCCCAGAGGCCAGAAGAGGGCGTCAGATTCCTTGGAGCTGTGAAACAGTCGTGGGCTGCCTCGTGTGGGTGCTGGGAACTGAACTCCTGTCCCTCCGTAAGAGCAGCAAGTGCTCCTAACCACTGAGCCATCTCTCTGGCCCCAGGTATAATGTTAGCACCTCCTCATGAATGGCCAGTGCCAACAAGCATTTTGAGTACACTGCTTATTCGTGAACCGCTTTGCGACAGGTAGCTTTACTTTGAGTCAAATACTTCCACTTCTTCTAATCCACAACGGCAAACCGTTTATTGAATTTTTAAGAGGGTTTCCTTCCTTCTTCCTTCGGTGCTGGGGATTGAACTCGGGCCTGGTATACAGGCAAGTGTTCTGCCTCTGAACCACCCCAGCCCTTATTTCACATTTAAAAGAAAAGGGAAAAAGAATTGTGCTGGGAGATGGCTCAGTGGGGATGAGAACTTACTCCTCTTGCAGAATACACAGGTTTGGCCCTCAGCCCTTGCGTGTTGGTTCTGACATTCACAGCTTCCCCTAGGAGATGCGATGCCCTCTTCTGGCCTCTACGGGCACACACAAGGCACACAAATGTGTACGCTGGCTAAACACTTCTGACTGGGATAGAATCACATCTACTCTCCTGTCTTCTCAACCCCCGTCTTCATTCTCACCCAAGTATGTTGGCTCCAAGTACTAAACAGGAGCAGGACCGGGGGTCAGAGTGAGGGAGGAGGCGTGGCTCAGAGCCCCGCTCTGGAGACAGAGCCTTTGCTGCGAGCCCACCCTGTGGGTTTCACCAGCAGCAGCCTCCGCCCTGTGAGCTCTGTAACTGACGATAATGAGCGACCTCTCCCGTACTCTCCACCCCTACCTTGGAATAGTTTCTGGAGCTGTCCCGGGAGGTCCGGCACTACGGCTACATTCAGCTGGATCCCTGTACCTGCAACCAGCCGGAACCCGCCTGCGGGGCTGTACTTTCCATCGGCAACAATGAGGTCAACTGCTGTGTAACCCTGCCCGATGGCCAGACCCAGGACGTTACTTTCCAGATGAGCAGAGTAAAATGCTGGCAGGTCACTTTCCTTGTGAGTATCTGTCATTTAGAGTTTTCTTCTGAGAGCGTCCTCGGGGAGGCGCGGGACTCGGGCCTTCATACGGGCTCGGATCACTGTCCAACCAAACACCGCAATGTGAGGTTCTTTGTCCCGCCAGCTCCCGCCGCCCTTGAGAGCCCCGAATAAATGCAGAGACTTATATTACTATAAAGTTGTTGGCCGGTGACTAGGGCTTCTTACTGGCTAGCTCCGTCTTAATTATTAGCCCATTTCTATTAATCTAAGTATTTCCACGTGGTCTTATCTCACGGGAGAAAGGTCCGGACCTGTTACTCCTTCCTCCACTACCTGGTGACCGTTTCTGCCTATGTTTCCCAGAATCCTTCTCATCTCCAAGTCCTGCCTATCTTCCTGCCTCATTGGTCAAACAGTGTTTTACTCATCAACCAATAAGAGAAACATATACACAGAAGGACATCTCTCATCAAAACACCTTACAGGGCCCTCATGGTGATCTGCCCGCAAGCTCTGACCTCAACTTTATACCTCTCTCCTGTCACCTCAGCCGGTCCCTGTCTTCTTCTGGGTTCTCCCACCCTGGGCTATGTCTAGAAACTCCTTTAGGGGTGGGGTAATCACAGGGCTTACTTCATTTATTCACTTTCTCTGCAGCATTATCCGAAAACAGCTATTGCCCAGTGTGCTCCTCACACAGATGCTGTGAGACGCGTGTTCCTAGGTCATGAGTCAAACCGCATTATCATCTAGCTTTGCCAAGCTTCTTAAGGAATGTCCAGTGTCCTCGGGATGCAGTCTGGCATCCTCAGCTGTATCTATGAAGCCACGGGAGTCAAGCTCTTTGTTAGCTAGCGCTAGACACCTATACGTTCTGCTCTAGTGTGGAGGCGTTGATGTAATGACGTCACTAGACCCAAGATTAAACGATAAATGGGTGTTTATTGGGGAACAATTGCACAGAAAGATACCAAGAACCCCCGGAGCATCTCCCTGCTCTTCCTACTGGATCTGCTGACTCAACAGAAAGAGGAAAAGGAAAAGGAAAGCCATACCTCAAGCGCCTCTCTTTCTGCCTGAAGCCACGCCCAGAGGGGTGTAGCCTCCGTTACAGGTGCACAGAGCAGACGCCTACATGGACCCGTTGGAAGGACGAGTGTTGACTCCTCACGCGTCTGAAGGAAAAGGGAAGGAACCTCGTGGTGTCTGGATTCTGAGTCAATGAGAAGGCACAGAGCATCTGTGCCGTTGACCTGAGCTTGGCTGTGCGCCTCTGTCCGACGTCACTCTCCGAGGGTTCCTCAGAGACAGCCCACAGTGGAAGAGATGGGTCTCCTGAGGACGCTTGAGTCCCCGTCACCAGGAGAAACAGGGAGAGATGCTGTGTACACAACCCACAGCCTTCTGAACCCCCTCTAGTCTGGCTCTCTGGGCCTCCTCCTCACCCGCCCTCAAGCCACACCCTTTTCCTCACAGAGTCTGCAACCTGCCAGCCTTCTTCATGCTCCAAAGGTTTGACCTCACTCTTTATTCTACCAGGAATCATCGCCACCCTCCCTTCTCACAAAACAAAGCCACCACAACAAACTACTCCTCACATGCCCTTCCTTCCAGGAAGTCTCCCTTCAGCCGCCTAGCCTGGGCTACATCCATTCTGTTTCTTCCTGTAGACCGGTACTTCCTCTAACACTTCCGGAGCCATTTCCTCCCTTTGCCCCCTGGGGGACAGCCTTTGGGGAAATTAATGGTTGCTTTCTGATATCAGGCCCAGTAGGTTCCAGGGGGCTCTGACGATGCCTTTGCCTCTGCAGGGCTCTCTGCTGGATACAGACGGGCCCCAGCGGACTCTCAACCAGAACCTAGAGCTGAGATTTCAGTACAGTGAAGACAGTCGGCAGCAGTGGTTTGTTGTGTACACCAAACAGGTGAGTTCTCGGAAAACAGTTTGCGCTGAAGCACTGACCGGCTGGCTAGAGCAGGGGCGGGGGTGGGGGGTCCTTCCCTGGCATTGGTCTGAAATACTTTGTTTTTGTTTTGTTTTGTTTTCCTGGTCACCATGGCCACGGGTTCAAAGAATTTAGTGTGATAGCCAGCTCTGAGTTGAGATGGGGAGCTCAAAGGAGAAGGCTCGTTTCAGCTCTCGGTTCCGCAGGCTGTGTGGTCTCCTGGTGCCATCACCCGTGACGAGACAAAGGCAGAAACATGGTGGACCAAACTATCTCAGGTCCAGTGTCGGGAAGAGAGACGGGGCGGGTCCCGATGTGAGCTTGAGGGTCACACCTCCAGGGATTCCCCTGCCTCACGCTGGACCCTCCTGGTTCCCACAATCCCCTGCCTGAAGCTAGCCTGAGGCCACACAAAAAGAACAGGAAAACAAGCCCTGAGTGGGATGGATTTTCTTTTTCCTCATCCCTTGCTTAGACCATACAGATGTTTATTATCTTAATGAGAGCACTGAAAACAGGTGATTGACGTCTCCGACATTCCCTTGGCTTTTCTCGAGAAGATGATTTATATGGGTTTGCCCTAGGTCCCCTGCATGTATGTCATGGTTGTATAGCGTGGTGTTCTTGTGGGCTCCTAACGGTGGGAGCGGGGGCTGTTTCTGGCTGTTTGGCCTGCTTTGGAGACCCTTCCCCTCCTTCTGGGTTTGCCTCATCTAGCCTTAATTTGAGGGGATGCACCTAGTCTAATTGTAGCTTGATGTCATGTTTGGTTAGCATCCTGGGAGGCCTGTCCTTTGCTGAAGGGAAACTGAGTGGATCTGGAGGAGAGAGGAGGTGCAGGGGAGGGACTGAGAGGGGAGGGGGGAGGGGAAGATGTGATCAGGAAATAAGAGAGAAGAATAAAGAAAAAAGAAATAAATATTGCCTCTCTTACCCAATCAGTAAACAGTTCCCAGGAGGCTTTCCCTTTGTCTCACTGGCTACACCAGAACCCACAACAACAAATCCTAGCTGCAAAGGAGCTAGGAACCAAGAAGCTATCGAGGGAGGAACAGAATTCATGATTGAGTTACAGCAAACAACCCCAAAACAAAACCAGGGCCTCTTAGGAGAGAAGAAAGAGCAGCTGCTGTTAGACACCTAACACCCGGATTGGAAGTGTCTGAGGAAAACAGAAGACAGACCCCCCACCCCAAAAGTAAAAGAAATGATCACTAACAAAAACCCTATCTTAGCTATTTCAAGTTAGAATCATTACTCCAAGTGAAAATGACTTTTAATTAAAAAAATAAAGGGCTGGAGAGATGGCTCAGCAGTTAAGGGCGCTGGCTGCTCTTGCAAAGGACCAGGGTTCAGTTTCCAGCTATATGTGATGGCCCACAATCACCTGTAACTCCAGTCCCAGGAGATCCAACACCCTCTTCTGGCCTTTGAGGCAAAAACCCATGTACACAAATAAAAAGTGTAACTCCTAAAAATAAGTAAGCAACTCCAGGTCTTCTAAATCCTAATAAAAACATCAATAAAAAATTGATGTTGTATTCAATTGAGTCCTGCTTAGTTCCACAGAGAATGTTGGTTTCTGGACACCAAAAGCCGTCTCTAATACAGATGTGGTCATGGTGTCTTGCCCTCTGAAAGCAAAAAAGCACTAAACCACAATCCTAAGTGGAAGGTCCTTGGGGCGTCCTAGTTAGCGTTGTTATTGCTGTGGTGAAACACCATGTCCTAAAGCCACTTGGGAGGAAAGGGTTTATTTGGTACCCTTCCATATCACTGTCCATCACTGAGGGAAGTCAGGACAGGAACCTAGCAGGAGGCAGGAGCTGATGCAGAGGCCGTACATGATGCTTACTGACTCGCTCCCCATGGCTTGCTCAGCCTGCTTCCTTATAGAACCCAGGACCACCACCATGGGCTGGTCCCCCCCCCCCCCCTTAGGCATTTTCTCACCCCGGGGCTCTGATGACTCCAGCTTGTGTCAAGTTGTCGTAAAACTGTGCAGCGCAGTAGTCTCCTTCAGTTTGAAGCATCCTTAGTGAGACTGTAGAAAGTTTCGTGCAATTTGCAGGCAGACGGGAAAGCAGGGACTTGAAGTCTCCTTCATTCGGACTCTCCTCAGAGCGCTGTGCAGTTGGATTTTTGCTACAATTTTTCCATCCAAGCAGCAGCTGATGTGTTTAAGCCACCACACACAGGTGCAGTAACCACTTTTAAAAAAAAGGTTTCTAGTAAGATCTTACTTCCTTTGGAGGATGAACCGTGTTGATGGATGCCCAAGGGCTGCTGGAGCATGTGAAGGGACCGGTCCTGCAGACCCAAAGCTGCAGGGTCTCCACTACACAGGACAACAGCAGGATATCCCAGAGGACACCCGGTGAGGGCCCAGCACCTATAGTGTAGCAGAAACCAGAGGCCTCGAACCAGACCAATGACTCTTTGTAACAAACACTTGCAAGTAAAGATACATGGATAAAAGCATTTACTGGCCAGGCGTTGGTGGCGCAAGCCTTTAATCCCAGCACTCGGGAGGCAGAGGCAGGCGGATCTCTGTGAGTTCGAGGCCAAGCCCGAGTGAGTTCCAGGACAGCCTCCAAAACAATATAGAGAAACCCTATCTCCCGGAAAAAAAAAAAGCGAGTAAAGTATTTACTGTGTGTCTCGCTGTGTCAAAACTATAGCTTCCATGATGAGATTTTTTCCTTCTTTTTTCCCCCCCTCTTAAAGTTTACTTTATTTTATTGGGGGGGGGGAGGTTACAAGGGCAGAGGGTAAATATCAGGGGATGGAGAGGATGGAGATGCATGATGAGAAAGACACAAAGAATAAATAAAGAGAAAGTTAGAAAGTGCTTCTGTAAGGTCGGGGTGGGGGCGCCTGCACTTGGGAGGCAGAGGCAGGCAGACCTCTTGAGTTTGAGGCCAGCCAGTCGGGTCTACACAGGGCTACACAGAGGAAACCCTGTCTTGAAAACAAAGCAAAAGCAAATGTTTTAATATCCCCTTCTAAATAGGCAAGTTAGTAGTTGTGCCTAACAAGGGGCTCCTCAATAACTATTATGACATTACATGGAGGGTTTATTTATATGATGACTGCTGTGAGAGGTTTGTTGCTTATGAAACACGAGCTGCTCATAGAACGGTAGAAATATGGAGCAGAAGAGGGGATTAGGAGGGGAAGTGGTTAGGAATGAGATTGTGGCCTGTTTACCCGTCTGTCTCTAAAATGTGCTGTCACTACATTGTCGAAACTGAGAAAGCTTGCTTGACTGCTCCTTGCATGTTAAGCCGGTGAATGAAAGTTAGACAGAATTCTTTAAACTGTGCTGGTGAGTTTTAGCCTCCGTTACGCAGTGGGGGAAGGAGAAAGAGAACCTTGAGCTGAGGGCAGGTTTTGTTGTTTTAAAGACTGGCTCCAAGTTTTTTTTTTTTTTCATTTGTTTGTTTGTTTGAGACTGGGTCTCATTTATGAAGCCCTGACTGGCCTGGAACTCACTAGACCAGGCTGACTTCAAACTCACAGAGATCCTCCTGCCTCTGCCTCCCGAGTGCCGGGACCAAAGGCGAACGCCACCAACGCCTGACCTAAGAGCAATCTCTATTTCCCGGTTTTGTAGGCTTTTTTCCTGAGTAGCTGCCTGAAGAAGATGGTCTCGGAGAAGTTGGTGAAGCTCGCTGAGGAGAACCCAGAAATGGTAAGGACTCTGAGACAGGCTTGTGTGTGTGTTAACTCGTGTAGACCGAATTCACCCGGAAGTTAGCATCTGACTGTATTAGCATCTGACTGTGTTAGCATCTGACTGTGTTAGCATCTGACTGTGTTAGCATCTGACTGTGTTAGCCGAGTTGTTGGGCAGAGCCTGGGTCCTGGCCGCTCTTACACACTGCCTGGGCCACTTTAAATAGACAACAGTAGTGAGCAGTGAAAGGAGATTTATTCCACCCTGTAGAGCAGGCCTGAAATTCAATCAGAACGCAGTTCACTTACCCCATAACCTTCAAGTCACTATTGTACCAGTGGGCACGCAAGTTCCGTTTTATAGCAAGCGAGGTCCACCTCCTGATGGCTTTTCTCCCCCTAGCGTCTCTACAGTGGGGAGGAAGTTTTGGTTTCTCTATGTCCTGCAACCAAAGTGTGTTGGGTCCTTAGCAATATGGTCATGCCATCTACATATGGTGAGCATCCAGGAGCAATGGCAATACCCTAGGCTGTTTTGGGTGCCTTCAGGGACCTTCTAGCCAATCTCATGGGGAACCATGTATTCCTCACTGAGATTTTCAAGTAGCAAATTACCCAGGGGTCTTCCAGAAAGGCATTGTCCACCTACGCAGGATAATCTCCACCCAAATGCCCTTTCGTCTTCGAATTATATATTTTTAACTAGCTTGGAAGAAGTTGTGAGTTTTGGCTGGGCAGTGGTGGCGCATGACTTTAATCCCAGTACTTGGGTGGATCTCTGTGAGTTCAAGGCCAGTTTGGCCTGGTCTATGGAGTGAGTTCCAGGACAGCCAAGGCAACATAAAGAAACCCTGTCTACAAAACAAAAAACAAACAACAACAACCAAAAAAAAAGGTTGTGAGTTTCATAAAAGTTTTTTCTTTCTTCATTTTTCTTTATCCACCCAACCCCCTCCCCTGAATCCTGGCTTGCACCTTTATTCCCGTATTCACATCAAGTATGTTCTACTATGCCCTCCTCATTAAGACCTCTTCCCCTCCCCACCTCCTGTTAAGCCAGGATTTTGAGGGGATCTTTAACACAGCAGGGGTGATCTTCAGCAATCTCTAGAATTTTCTCCGGAAGGAACCCATTGCTCATTGACACCTCCCATCTACCAAGCAGGAAGCCACAGGGTGGAAGAAAGTCTCGGGACAGTTGTTTTCTGTTTGTTTCTCCAGATGAACTCTATTTTTCTGATCTGTGTATTTCCATCGAAGGCCTAGTAACTTAGAAAGGCTTGGTGCATATGCTTTAAGACAAAACAAAAACACATCTGTGACCCTAGACTTTTCTGATTATCTTATCATTACTATGTAACCGTGTTCCGAATAAGATAGGACAGGTTGACGGACATTTGTGTGTTGGTAAATCTAGTATTTTTACAGAAGGTTATATTGATCCTTAAAAAAAAGATGTATTTGTTTTTTTTTTTTTTTGGTTTTTTTTTTTTTTTTTTTTTTTTGGTTTTTCGAGACAGGGTTTCTCTGTGGCTTTGGAGGCTGTCCTGGAACTAGCTCTTGTAGACCAGGCTGGCCTCGAACTCACAGAGATCCGCCTGCCTCTGCCTCCCGAGTGCTGGGATTAAAGGCATGTGCCACCAACGCCCGGCAGGATGTATTTGTTTTATGTGAGTGTTTTGCCTACATGTATGTATGTATGTGCATCATGTGACTGCCTGGGGCCCATGGAGGCCAAAACAGGTCATCAAATCCTATGGAACTGGAGTCCCAGATGTTTGTGTGTGGGTGCTGGGAACTGAACCCCATTCCTCTTCAAGAGCAACAAGCGTTTTTAATACTGAGCCATTTTAGGCCCATACATCCATCTTTAAAATCACAACAGAAAACACTAGAATACTTTCCCTAATGCTTTTATTTATATTTAATTCTTTTTTCTTTGCTTTTTGTTTGTTTGTTTTGTTTTTGTATTTCAAGACAGAGTTTCTCTGTGTAACAGCTCTAGCTGTCCTGGAACTCTCTCTGTAGACCAGGCTGGCCTCGAACTCACAGAGACCCGCCTGCCTCTGCCTCCCGAGTGCTGGGATTAAAGGTGTACGCCGCCACCGCCCGGCTAGATTTAATTCTTTATAAGTGGATGAGTGGCATCTTTACCATGAATCTTTACAGCTTTTTCTCTGCCCCTAACAAACCAGTTGTGCTTTGGACTTAATTTCTCTTCTGGATCCAAAAATATCTTTTTAGGGCAAACAAATCCGCTGCCTCCCGGTGATTGAACAGTTTAAGTTGTACTGGAGAGTGGGGGATGAAAGAGACTCTTTCTTTGTGAGACGGATCATAAAACCCACCCTCTTAGGCACAGCAGTCTCCCCTGGGCTTCGATGATTATGCTGTATAAAAGAGGAACGAGAAGTAATTAACTGGAGGAGGCTTTTTAAAAAAGAGATGCTGACCTCAGATGTAGAAGAATAAGACAGGGCCCACTTGATACAGGAAGTACTTGGACAGTGAATAGCGAGGAACCAGCTCAGTAAAAACCAACCCCACCACACGCCTGTGGTTTGTTTGCACGGCCACTTGAAACTTACCTTTTTTTTTTTTTCTTTCCTGCGAACAACACCAGAATCAGGGAATCGGGGCGCTTTAGCCGACAGGTTTTCATTGCTGAGATCCCGTCTTTTATTTTATTTACTTGTTTACGGCTTATTCTGGTTCTTGGAAAGACACCACCTTCAGAGGCAAACCACGTTTCACAAAGCCTCAACTAAAAGGAGTCCCCGGGCAGCCTGACTGAGCCCTGTGAACTCACGGAGGACAGTGGGCCACAGTCATTTTGCGGCTTAAAGTGGCAGTGTGAATTCGAGACCCAGGCATTCGCCTGTTTTCCGGGCAAACACACACTTGGGAAGAGCACACACTGCTTACAGAACTCTGTGGACTAAGGCAGACAGGTCTGCTCAGTGAGGCGGATTCTGGGTCCAAAGGTCTGGCAATCAGGAAGAATCTTGGGCAAAGGGGAAAACCCTGGAGAACTTTAACCAGCAGAGCCCCATGGTTAACGCTGACAGTCCCCGGGAACACTGACAGGGTTTTCCCACTTAGAATGGAAGGGTGAAGACGTTTGGTGTCAAACCAAAATTTGTTAGCGTGTGTTGGTCTTGTTAGAACATGCAACGATTTCTTATTAGTGTGTGTTAACGATTTCAAAAGTAAGGCCTGGAATAGGAAGACGAGTCCACGAGTTCAGACGACCAGCCCCCATGGAAAAGGCTGGCCGGGCATGGCAGCCCTCCGATCCCAGCCTAGGAGGTGGAGGCAGGAATCCTCAGAGCGAGCTCAGACTAGCCAAAACGGCAAGCTCCATGTTCAGCCGGAGACCCTGCGTCAGTATAGACTGTGGGGCGCTATTGAGAAAGACCGTGTGTGTCAGCTTTGGGCGTGCACACACGTGTGAGTGTGCGTGCACACATAGCAGACGTACACAAACCCAAAGCAAAAGTGAACCTCGAAGTGCTGGTTATAAGAGACCATTCTTTTATTTTTCAGACAGAGTCTTGCTCTGTACCCCAGGCTAGACTTGAACTTAGAGCAATTCTCCTGTTTCACCCTCCCAGGTGTTAGGACCACAGAGAAATGAAAATTTGAGTCAAACAATTACCAGTGAAGAACCGTGTAAACGTACACTCACAAGAAATACTTAGAAAATTTAAAAGATGTATTTGTTTTGTTTTACGTGTATGGGTGTGTTGCCTGTATGCATGTGTGTATGTGTACCCCATGGCTGTCTGGTCCCCGTGGAGGTCAGACAAAGGCATTGGACACCCTGGACCTGGGGTTGTGGATGACCACGAGCCACCGGATGGTGATGAGCTTGAACTCAGGTCTCCTGCAAGAGCAACAGGTGCTTTAAACCAACTCTCCAGTCCCATTTAGTTAGACTTTTAAAGTCAATATTAATTATAAACCAGAGAGGTAGTGAGTGTGTGTGTGTGAGTGTGTGTTGTGTGTATGTGGATACAGCATTCTTAAAGCTCTCTTCCTATACACAGGCCTGAGATTTTCTCTAACATTTGCTGCTTTTGTTTTTTTGTTTTTGTTGTTTCTTTGTTTTTTTGTTTTATTTTTCGAGATAGGGTTTCTCTGTATTGTTTTGGAAGCTGTCCTGGAACTTGCTCTGTAGACCAGGCTGGCCTCGAACTCACAGAGATCTGCCTGCCTCTGCCTCCCGAGTGCTGGGATTAAAGGCGTGCGCCACCAATGCCGGGCCTTCTCACCTGGTCTTGACTGGTCTCTGTGGCTTCATGTCTCCCTGATGAAGGTTACCCTGTTATACACCACCTCCCTCACGGCAGTCCTTGGGAGCCTAGCACTCGTTCATACGTTTTAACCACCTCCCCCTCTCCATCAAATGTTGTGCAACCTTGAGAACCCCCGAAATGCCAGGTGTGGTGGTACAGGGCTGAGATCGCTGGATTCAGGAGGCTCAGGCAGGAGGATGGAAAGTTTCAGGTCGACCTGACCTATGCAGAGTATAGACCAGCCTGAGTTAAACAGCAAGACCGTGTCTCAGAAAAGCTCAGGGATTTAGGCCAGCACGATGTCCCAGCGAGTAAAGGTGTTGGCCGCCAGACCTAGCAACTTGAGTTCCATCACTGGGACCCGCATGTTGGAAGCAGAGAAATAAATGACTCCTCAGGGCTGTCCTCTGATGTCCATGTGTATGCTATGGAACACACACACCACACACACACACACACACACACACACACACACACACACACACAAATAAAATTATAGAGAAAATAACAGCTAAGGGTTCAGGATGTAGCCCCACTTGTAGAATATATATATATATATATATATATATATATATATATATATATATGCCTTCGCACAAGACGGAGCACGAGCACAATCTACAAGTAACAATGTATTAACTATTACTATTACCATTGCAAACCCTGACCTCAGCTCAGATTGCCACCTGCCTCCTCTGGGCCCCTAACTGTGTGCCTTAAGCAGCAGGGGAGAGTCCCAGCTCAGTGAGCTGTAGTCTGGGTCTGACTTGATTAACGATGCCTTTTTTTTCTGGTTCCGATTTGATTAATGATGCCTTCTGACTGTGCAAAGCCCCGTGTGGCTTCGCTTCGGGGCATGCATTCGTGCTGCGTGGATGAGCCCAGGATTTAGTAGTTCGTTTTATTTCCCGTAAAATCCTTTCAAAAGCTGTGTTAAATTACAGGTTCCATAGGCAGCCACCAGTGTTAGACCTGAAGCTCGCTGTCACTTGGGTGATTTCCTTCCTGCCACGGGAAGGGCGGGCAAGCAGATTTGAGGCGGGTGGACAGATGCCATGTAGGTGTGCAGGTGCCGGGCAGGGGTGCAGGTGCCAGGCAGGGGTGCAGGTGCCAGGCAAGGGTGCAGATGCGAGCCCGGTGTGCAGATCCCAGGCAGCCGTGTCTGCTGGCCAGAAGCTGAAGGATCAGTAGGAATAGGCAGACACCAGTGTTAGACCTGTGGTCGGGGAGACAGACATCTCAGCTGATGGATTGTTCGTGTGCTGGCTTCGCTGGGCTGCACTGACATTTTGCTAACCTATTTAGCAGATCGAGGTTCCAGAACAAGGCAGAAGTAAGAAGCAGCCGGCCCAACCGAGCCAGGTCTGTGAGTAAAATGACACCATCCGTGTGGTATAATTGGGATGCCTTTCCCCCACTCTGCTGTGAGCAAGTCCTTGGCGTTCGAGCATGCTTGATAGCTGGCTGCTTCTTAGAAGCCCCTGTGCAGACGGGGTGATGCAGGCCAGCCCCGGACCCGCCTGTCTCATCAGCTCAGCTCAGACAGGGGAAACAAAATTCCTTTGTCATTTTCTTCTTCGTCTGGTGCGTTCGTGGAAAATCCTCTTTCCAGTTACAGATTTGGGGTTTGGTTTAATCTGTGTGCTTCAGTCTCAGTGGATTTCTGCAGTGCAAAGTCGCTTTTAGGTTTGTAGGTTTTCCCGTGTGTTAGTTTTGTGGGGCAGGAAAGGCTCACGGTCCTGTAAGCTAATGTTTACATCCTCTTGCAAGCTGCAAATCCACTGAGGAACCTAGGAAACAGAGAGGTTAAGTAACATGCCCAGAAGGTGATCGGTAATCAGTGGTGGAAGAAAGCAGGGCCTCTGACCCCAGAACTGTGTCCTTAGTTACCGGGAAACCCTTCCTTCGGTATCCGAATTCCAGTGTAGGTAAATGAGATAAAGGCCCCCTATGAGTAGCAATTTACTGCACCTGTTACAGGGTCTGGTGTGTGTATACAGGTGCCTCATATAGAAATACACACTTAAGTATGTAAATGCAGGAGGTGCATTGAGCTTGGAAAATAACACGCGGCTGGTGGTGAGAGGGTTAAAAGTGCCTGACGCTCCAGCCTCATGACCAGAGTCCCATCCTTGGGTCCCGCAGCTGAGGGAGAGAACTGACAGGTGACCTCCGCATGCACACCTGCACGCACACCAGAGTGTGCAATCTTGCACACACTGAGACACGCGCACACCTGTGCACACGTGTGCGAGCTCGAGCACACAGAGACATCTGCACACACGAGTTTGCGAGCTTGCACACACACTGAGACACACGCACACACCTATACAAGCATGCATACGTGTGCACACACACCACACACATACACACATATACACACACCAATACACACATACACATGCATATACACAGGCAGACATATACACACACATACACCATACACATATCACATACACACTAAAAATGGACTTTTTAATGTAAAAAAAAACCTTTTATACACAACCTTTCTCTTTTGTAATAGCCCCCTAGCTACCTAACTTGTCACTTTTGCCCTGTGTGTGTCCAGACAGACCCAAACTCTAAGTGTGCGCCAGGCACTCCTGGGGTGTGTCCTACAGGGCTGATCCCAGGCCTTATTGCAAAGACTGGTGTAGCAAGAGTAGGGTGAAGGCCTTGAAAAATTGCCTTCATCACAGGTACCCTAGTGAGACTCAGCACACCGATCGGCACTTTCTTTACCTGCAAACTGTGGTGATCTCCAGCCCAGCATTTGAGTTCACCCATTTCCTCTGCACACTGACAGTCAGTCAGGCCCTGGGATCTCGGCCTCGGCTGCACATCGGGATCAATCTTCTGGAGCGTTCTGAAAACCGGTGACGGCTGGCCCCACCCCCAGAGAGTCTGGTTTGGTTGGGGCTGAGGAGTTAGCTCAGCCTGTAAGCTCCTGCTGTGCAAATAAGAGGACCGTGCAAAAGCTGGGAGTGTACATGTGATCCCACAGGGTAGTGTGCACATGTGATCCCAGCAGGGTAATGAGCACATGTGATCCCAGCAGGGTAGTGAGCACATGTGATCCCACAGGGTAGTGAGCACATGTGATCCCAGCAGGGTAGTGAGCACATGTGATCCCAGCAGGGTAGTGAGTACATGTGTGATCCCAGCAGGGTAGTGAGTACATGTGATCCCAGCAGGGTAATGAGTACACGTGTGATCCCAGCAGGGTAGTGAGCACATGTGATCCCAGCAGGGTAGTGAGCACATGTGATCCCACAGGGTAGTGTGCACATGTGATCCCAGCAGGGTAATGAGCACATGTGATCCCAGCAGGGTAGTGAGCACATGTGTGATCTCAGCAGGGTAGTGAGTACATGTGATCCCAGCAGGGTAATGAGTACACGTGTGATCCCAGCAGGGTAGTGAGCACATGTGATCCCAGCAGGGTAGTGAGCACACGTGTGATCCCAGCAGGGTAGTGAGTACATGTGATCCCAGCAGGGTAGTGAGTACATGTGTGATCCCAGCAGGGTAGTGAGCACATGGGATCCTGGCAGGGTAGTGAGTACACGTGTGATCCCAGCAGGGTAGTGAGCACATGTGTGATCCCAGCAGGGTAGTGAGTACACGTGTGATCCCAGCAGGGTAGTGAGTACATGTGTGATCCCAGCAGGGTAGTGAGCACATGTGTGATCCCAGCAGGGTAATGAGCACATGTGATCCCACAGGGTAGTGAGCACATGTGTGATCCCAGCAGGGTAGTGAGTACACGTGTGATCCCAGCAGGGTAGTGTGCACATGTGATCCCAGCAGGGTAGTGAGTACATGGGATCCCAGCAGGGTAGTGAGCACATGTGTGATCCCAGCAGGGTAGTGAGTACATGGGATCCCAGCAGGGTAGTGAGCACATGTGTGATCCCAGCAGGGTAGTGAGTACATGTGATCCCAGCAGGGTAGTGAGTACATGTGATCCCAGCAGGGTAGTGAGCACATGTGATCCCAGCAGGGTAGTGAGTACACGTGTGATCCCAGCAGGGTAGTGTGCACATGTGATCCCAGCAGGGTAGTGAGTACATGGGATCCCAGCAGGGTAGTGAGCACATGTGTGATCCCAGCAGGGTAGTGAGCACATGTGATCCCAGCAGGGTAGTGAGTACATGGGATCCCAGCAGGGTAGTGAGCACATGTGTGATCCCAGCAGGGTAGTGAGTACATGGGATCCCAGCAGGGTAGTGAGCACATGTGTGATCCCAGCAGGGTAGTGAGCACATGTGTGATCCCAGCAGGGTAGTGTGTACATGTGTGATCCCAGCAGGGTAGTGAGCACATGTGATCCCAGCAGGGTAGTGAGCACATGTGATCCCAGCAGGGTAGTGAGCACATGTGATCCCAGCAGGGTAGTGAGTACATGTGATCCCAGCAGGGTAGTGAGCACATGGGATCCCAGCAGGGTAGTGAGTACATGTGATCCCAGCAGGGTAGTGAGTACACGTGTGATCCCAGCAGGGTAGTGAGCACATGTGATCCCAGCAGGGTAGTGAGCACATGGGATCCCAGCAGGGTAGTGAGTACATGGGATCCCAGCAGGGTAGTGAGTACATGTGATCCCAGCAGGGTAGTGTGCACATGTGATCCCAGCAGGGTAGTGAGCACATGTGATCCCAGCAGGGTAGTGAGCACATGTGATCCCAGCACTTGGAGTCAAACCCTCACGGGGACCCCAGGGGCTTCCTTCAGGGTCAACGAGAGACCCCACTCAGAAGATAAAGTGGAGAGTGAGGAAAACATCTGATGCCAACCTCTGGACACACACATACACACACAGTCACACGCAGACATATACACACAGGCATACACATACATACCAAACACACCCATCTCCCCACCCCCACACACACATGTCACACCCACACTCCCATATACATATACACACACCCACACACATCATACACACACATACACACCCTATATACATACCCCCACACACCCCACATACACACACACCACATACATACACACACACCATACACACACCCCATATACATACATACACACCACACACACACACATACCCACACACACACCACACACACACACACACACACACACACACACACACACTTGCTTTGAGAGATCACTAAGTGCTGAAGGCAAATACGTTCTTTAAATGCCTTGCACGATATTCTCAAAAGCCTGTGCTTCTGTGCACAAGCGAATGGGGTGAAGAACTGGAATTCACCGCTCTGGACGAGTGGCAGGAACGGGCAGTGTTGGCTGGGTGACCCCAGAGCCTAGAGCGCTTCCTGCGCAGGCCAGCAGGGGGCGCCGTCCTCAGCCCTACCCCAGTGCAGGATTAAGGCACCTTTTAAGGTCACTCTTGCTAAGACAGATGTAACTGTTTGCTGCTCCTTTGATACTATTTCAGCCTCCTCGAGGTTTTCTTGTTGCCGTTAAGGATATTTCTTCCTCTAGTATACACTTCTGACCTCTCTGTTTTCCTGCAGAAAAACTATTTTAATTTTCTGAGAAAAAGCAACATGAAGACCGCTGAAGACGGATGTGTCTGGGGGACCCTGACGGAAGGAGGTCTCTGAAGGGGTCTCGTCTTTCAACACATCTTCAGGACTATGTCTTAAGACAGTGCCAGAGCTGGGGGTCACTTCCTTTGACATGGAGGTACCTGTGTTCATCAGTCTCACCCGTAGCCCTCTGAAGCGCTCAGGATTAAAACCGCGTAGGAGCCAAAGCTCTAGCGTTGGCTTAAGTGGCAGGTGGCAGGTTCAAATCCACCAACGGACGGTTTATTCTGTTTTCCCACTAGGGCACATGTGCATTCGGCTCCGTGACCTTTTGTATGTTCTGATATCGCAGGGATAGAAAGCTTGTTCTAAACTGTACGGATGCATTTGGCACGGAGCCAGAGCCACCAGCTCAGGAAAATATGGCTCCCGTTATTTATCCAGAGAGCAAGAAGAGAGGGTAAAATTCTGATCCACTTCCTCACCTACTCCCGAGTCTACTAACACAGATGAACCTGAGTCATAGCTGCCTTGGCCTAAATCCTCTTACTGTATGGTTGTATTCACTCTTATTTTTTAATTAAAATATTCTTTTGAGATAATGGTCCTCTGTATAGCAGTCCTGGAACTCCCTGTAGAACAGGCTGGCCTCGAACTCACAGAGATTGTATTCCACTCTTAGATTGGATTCTTGGCCTGGAGAAATGACTCAGTGGTTAAGAACACTTGATGCCTTTGCAGAGGACCTGGGTTTGATTCCCATAATGCACATGTGTCAGCTCCAGAGGTTCCGATGCCCTCTTCTGGCCTCCTCTGGTACCCACACATACGTGGCACACATACACACATAACTAAACCCAAATAAAATTGAATTCTACCCAGTAATCATCATGCCAACTGGAATATTTTTCTCTTGGATATCGATAAAGTCCTGCAGGGACATCTAATATAAATCGCTTAGCTATACAAATGTGTATATTTTCCACAATATTTTTCCTTATATAGCTTCTGGTGTACGACATTAATGAACATAATTGTGATGGAATTAAGAGCAACATAAAGAGGGAAAGATAAATATGCAAAAAACAACTAGGTAGGAGTGTAATATTCTAATGTTCTTTTCTGAGTTAGCTAATTGTGAAATAAATGTAACATCTGATGAATATGAAGTTTGCTGATGAAAATTGTATGTGTGTGTGTTTTAATGTAGACTCCATAAGGGCCCTGTAATATATAGAAACCAATGCTTTCTGGTTAAGGGTTTGAGTTTGTGTTCCAGGCTGTAGTGGGATCTCAAATCACCCCGCTGGGCGGATTAGTGTGTTGGGGTCACCAGAGGGTCTGATCAAAGTGGCTGTGCTATTTCCATAACTTGAAAGTCGTCAGGATCCATCTTAACCTACACACGGTGTACAGGGCCATCTCAGACACAGGTGTTATAATTTAAGACAGGCAACACATGAAAGAAGCCATGTGATGGAACTCAAGCAGAGGTTTTTTGTTTGTTTGTTTTGTTTTTTGGGAAAGGGATTATAAAAAAGAGAAAGGGAAGGAGGGAGACCAGCCTCCAGAGACAGGAGCAGCAGGAAGGAGAAAAGAGGGTGGGGGGAGGGGAAGAGACATGCAGAGACAGAGACAGGGAGAGAGAGAGAGAGAAGGATGGGAGGTGGGCGGGGCCCTTTGAAAAGGGAACACAGTGAATAGGCACAGGTGGCGCTCTTGGTGGCTGCAGCTGAGGGCGTGTCCTGTCAGGACCCCAAGGGCAGGTCAGGACACATGCCTGAATAGTAACAACCGGGAACAAAAAGTTTTGTGCTGGGATTAGAAGACTGAACATATGTGATGACTGCCTTTGTAGGTTAAAAAGAAAATTATCTGATGCCCATTCTGTGTCCAATTTGACGCGTGAGAGTAAGTTTTCCTAAAGAACGTGTAGTGACTGAGCACCAAGGGCAGCTGGGGCTCTCGGGCAAGCCCCAAGAGAGACCCTGGGGGGAGAATAGGGAGTGGGGTAGGGGACCATTAGCAAAAGGGAAGGTGAGTCAGCATGGGAAAGAGACCAGGACTTAGGCAATGGTCAAAGCTGCTCTACGCTGGTGGAGCTTCAGGTGAAGGCTGGACATGTGGTGCCTGTCTGTAGTCCCAGTACCGGGGAGGCTGAGGCACAAGGGTCACAAGTTCAAGGCCAGCCTGGGTGACACAGCAAGCCCCCCATCTCAAACAAAGCATTGCATGGGGTTTTGTTTGTTTGGTTAGTTGGTTTGGTTTGTTTGTTTGTTTGTTTGTTTTCGAGACAGGGTTTCTGTTTGGCTGCACGCATAGTTTTAAGTTAGGGCAGTGCATAACGGGTTAGAGAAACAGTACCATCTGCATAGCATAGTAGCTTCCTGGCAGCTAGCTCCCCAGTGGTGGGAGCCCAGCCTCTGTGTACAGTTACTACCCCGAGCTGCTGCGTGCACCTGCGTGCAGCGCCTGCCTCTTGAGGAGGACAAAACCAGAAGCATCACACAACATTCCCATCCCAGCCTCTGGGACTTCAGTGGGCTTCAGAACCTAAAGACTTGGTCATCGGGTCTTGAGTCTGCATTCACAACCGCTGGAGTGGTCAGCCCCCTGCAGGCCTGGGAGAGCTATCGAGCGAGCCCCCACCATCTCAGCCGTACAGAGACTCCCGCCCACCATGGGGTCACCAGTCCATGCTGCAGCGCCTTCTAAGGTAGGCTACAGCTTACACTCAGGAAGGCTTTGGGCCTTTGCGGCATATGCCTTTCTTGAGGTCTGGATCCGTAGACTGCAGCGTGGATTTAGCGGCCTCTCCACCTTCATCCATCGAGGCGGCACGGGTCCTGAGCATGTATAGGCTTCACTTTTTTTTTTTCAGCATTGTTCCCTAAGTGCAGTGCGGGGGGGGGCTTTCTGATTGTGTTTGCTTTGTGCTGGGTATGATGTGTGCCCCAGAGGAAGTTTAACATATGTGGAGGCTACGTGAAGGTTTCATGGATTGGCAGAGGCATTTCCCACAAAGGGCATTAGCATCTGTGGAGGTTAGCCTCCGTGGATCCCCGGGGACAATTGTTCCTGTTTTAAAAAAGGTCCCCATCAGCCATTTTTCCTCCTGACATAACTACATGTCTACATTATTCAATAGCTCATCTGGATCTAGGACCCCCCCCCCCCTTTTTAAGACCAAGTTTTGTTTTGCTTTGTTGGTTTTTGGAGACAGGGTTTCTCTGTGTATCTTTGGAGGCTGTCCTGGAACTTGCTCGGTATACCAGGCTGGTCTCGAACTCACAGAGATACGCCTGCCTCTGCCTCCCGAGTGCTGGGATTAAAGGTGTGCGCCACCAACGCAGAGCCAAGTTTTTGTTTTTTTTAAGACCAAGTCTCACTATGTAGCCCTGGCTGACCTGGAGCTCTCTATATAGACCAACTTGACCTTGCACTCACAGAAATCCTCCTGCCTCTGCCTCCCAGTGCTGAAATTAAAGGTGTGTACCGCCGTGCTCAGATGCATTCTTTAAATTTTTGGTTTACATTGCAAAATAACTACAAAGGCTTAATTGGGGCAAAAAAGAAAAAACGGGGGGGGGGCACTGACTGAACTGAGGTCAGCCCCATCGTCTGAGGCCGAGGACTCCTGTGGAGGGGAGCCAGGCCGGCTCTGCCTGCAGAGGGGGCACCGCTCACTGCTACGTCATGGTCCACACTTCCCATCTACTCCTCGGAGAGGGTGAGGCCTCCCCCTAGGTAGTCTACTAAGTCTGTCCCATCATCTCGTTGAGACAGGACCAAGGCACCTCTCCACCCCACACTCCTGTGTCTAGGCTGGGCAAGGTGTCTTTCTATACAGAATGGGCTCCACTAAGTCAGTCTGTACATTAGAGTTAGATCCTGGACCCACTGCCAGTGGCCTCATATATTGTCCCAGTCACAGCATTGTCATCTATATTAAGGGAGTCTAGTTCAGTCTTATGCAGGTTCCCCATTTTTCAGACCTGAGGCAGTGATCTCTCTCTAGCTCAGGTGAGCTGATTCTGTGGGTTTCCCCATCATGGTCTTGACTCCTTTGTTCATATTATCACTCCTCCCTCACTGATTGTACTCCAGGAGCTTGACCCATTGGTTAGTTGTGGATCTCTGCATCTGCTTCCATCTGTTTCTGGAAGAGGGTTCTGGCTTCTCTGGGTTTGTGGGTTGTAGGCTGGGTATCTTTTGATTTATGTCTAGTATCCACTTATGAATGCGTACATACTGTATTTGCCTTTCTGGTTTTGGGTTACCTCAACTCAGGATGTTTTTTTTTCTACTTCTGTCCATTTTCCTGCGAATCTTAGGATGTCATTATTTCTTACCATTGAGCAGTACTCCACTGTGTAAATATACCACATTTTCTTCATGCATTCTTCAGTTGACTGCTCGGGGCTTGAAGCTCCAGCCTCCCTCTGACGTTGCTCTGGGCTCTGCTCCCAGGTCTGAGGCTCGTGTGTCCACCATCTTCTCTTGTGAGCAGCGCGGCGGATTTTATGTTCAACGTCCCAGTTAGAAATGCTGCTAAGATCATCCCCACAGTGAGGTTAAGGAACGTTAAATGGTCTAAATTTGTGGAAAACCAGACGGACTTCAAGCTTTGGTGAGAAAACACGGAAGAGAAGGACCCTACAATACAAAATGGCGGAAAAACCACAACCAACTCAGGACAGAGGCACGAATGCCTTTTTAGTTATCCCTCTGCCTCGTGAGTGGTGTGCGCAGTGCCAACCAGACAAGCAGAGAGAGCGGCTGTGGGAGACTCCGTGCCTTCGGGGGCAACCTCATTCCTGTCCTCAGAGAGCCAAGACACATCAAGGAAAAGGTGAGTACGCTGTGCCATCCCACTAATGAAATGTGCTGCGTGAAGTTAGAAAACACCATAACCAGTTAGTCCACGCACGTGGCTTTCAGGTCTCATATGGGCCCCAGTCTTTATTGAGGTGTAACTGTACTTTGCTGGCAAGTTTCTCTCTAACATAAGAAAATCCCCGAGGCTGGATAATTTACAAAACACAGATGTGTCCCTCTTAGAGCTCTGGAAGCCTGGAAGGTCTTTACAAAGTTGCTAACAGTTTGCCATCTGCCGCGAGTTCTCCTTGCCTCCCAGAAGGCACCTGCTCCCCATCCTCACATGGCCGAGGAGACTGCAGGAAGAGGAGACTGCAGGAAGGGACTCGGGCCTCAGATTCTTCCAGATGTACATTCTGCCTTTGTGATTTAACCATTCCCTAAACGCCTTACCATTTGACCCTGGCACACTGGTTGCTAGGTTTCACCTTGTGGATTTGGGAGATGATACAAACCAACCCTGTGAGTTTTCACTGGTGTCTTAACCATTCCTTGTGAGCTACAAAAGGGATGGATATGCAGTGACATTTGTGAGGTTCTTTGAAAGTCATCCGTGTTCGCTGTTAAGGATCCTCTCATTCTGGATGCCTTGTAACAAATGTATCTATGTATCTATCATCATCAGTATGTCTATCTATCACCTATGATCCATCCATCCGTCTGTCTGTCTGTCTATCCATCCATCCATCCATCCATCCATCCATCCATCTATCTATCCACTCCCCCTATCTATCTATCTATCTATCTATCTATCTATCTATCTATCTATCTTCTATCTACCTATCTCCTATCACCCATCCATCCATCTACCTATCTATCAATCATCTATCTATCTATCTATCTATCTATCTATCTATCTATCTATCTGTCTGTCTATCTTGTGTGTGTAGGCAGGTGCTCACATGTGTGCATCACAACTTTTCAGAGACAGTTCGTGGGACTTGGTTCTTTCCCGGCACCGCGTGAGTCCTGGGGACTGAACTCAGGTCAGCAGGTTTGGTGGTATTTGGTGCATTCTTGCCAGCCGGTAGTTAGTTATTGCTCCTCCAACAACTCCCTTCTAAACCCTCACTTCCTGAGCAGCTGGCACAATTGCATAACAGATCTTTTATCTTATCAGCACGTACAATAGTTCCCACCCCCACAGCCCAGTGTCTCACAAATCACCTGTACAGGATTTGCAGGGCGTTGGCTTAAACCGTCCCAGAAGGAACTGCTCATGGAGGCGGTTGTGTAGCCGTGGGAGGGACGCTCATTAGTCAGACACTGTGTTCCTGTGGAATCGTTTCCTCTGTGGTGAAGCTGGGATGGTTCTGCATGGTTCTGGTGTAGCAACGGAAAACAACATTCCTCTCCCAGGGTTCCAGCTATATTTTTGTAATTAAAAAGAAAAATCAAGTCCCAAGAGGTTTATTTTGTAATTAATAAGGGAGAGAGGTCTTATCTTGAAAGTTTGGCTTGAGACACTTTCTACAGCTCTGGTTTCTGTTCTCTTGACTTTTGAATTTTCTCTCAGTTTTGCAAAGATGCTGCCTGGCATATATATTTTCTTGTGGTTTGTGTGTTTCAAAGATTTGGGGGGACGGGGATGGATTCAAGTTTGGCAAAAATGAATGAATGCGATAGTATGGTGTTCAGTGGCTTATTCATCTGAGGTTCTGGGAACCAAGGAACCTTCACACCTGACAACCTGATTTACAGTTGGTTAGAGACCTGTGGGACCTACTCTTTTCAGGAGCATGCCTCCCTCTCCTGGTCATCCTGCAGTACTACAAGAAACAAGATGACCAGGAACAGGGCTTGGGCTCTCTGGGAAGCCTGGCTGCCCGTGAACTCATGATGTAGATCAGGCTGACCTCGAACTCACAAGAGCTGGGACTAAAGGCATACGCCACCAAGCATGGTTGACGACAGGCCTCTTCTTTTCACAAGAACCGAGTGTTTTAAAAACCACCTCCCCTTTCCAGACACATCTCTTTCTGCACAGAAAACCGGTTAAAACTGGAGGGTCATGCTTCTCTGATCAGTGTCATTAGAATTAAAAAAAAAGTTTTCTGCATTTTCTGAGACCTTGTAGGAAGGTTTAATCGGCACAGCCCGGACTCTTACTTCCCCTGGTCAGAGTGTATCCACCGCCAGGAAGTAGATGCCAGTCACAGCCAGGGAATGGAGCTGCCCACAGTGGACGGACCCGCCCACTTCAGCTAATGTAATCAAGATAATCCTTTCCAGACTCATCCAGGGACCTAGATTTTATCCAGACACCATCACTCACCAGAAAGGGGCTTTGCAGGAGTGATTGTCCAAAGGTCTTGAGAGGCGGAGTCATCCTAGATTATCTAAGGATGACCTCGTTACCTGTAAATGACTAATGCAATCATGTAAACAATTAGATTTGTGGCAGTTTGTTACCGTGACAATAGGAAACTGAGGTACAGCCTACTCTTATATAGACCTCTCCCCTCCAAGCCCCTGAAGGGACTCTGGAAGTGTGTTCACATGACCATGTGTTCTGTGAAGTTGATATTTCAGCTCCCATTGATGAAGATGGTTACTTCCTCACCCCAGGCAGTGGTGGCACACGCCTTTAACCCCAGCACTCAGGAGGCAGAGGCAGGCGGATCTCTGTGAGTTCGAGGCCAGCCTGGTCTACAGGGAGAGTTTTCAGCACAGCCAGGGCAACACAGAGAAACCCTGTCTCCAAACAAAACAACAACAAAAGATGGTTGCTTTCTCTTCAGACTTTCAAAGCAATTCTTCCTGGGGAATCAGCACGGTGGTTGGGGGGGGGGTCCAAACATTCTGGGGCTCGACTAAGCAAGAGAATGGTAAGAGGCGCTTTAAGTTGCACTTAGTAGGATGTAATCTTGTTACTCACGGTCCCTTCCAGTACGTATCAAGAGGTTGCTGGGATGTAAAAATACGTCTATGAAAGCATTCAGTGTCCACCCAGATGCTGTGACACGGAGGAGTCATAAGGCGAATGCAGCTTGCAGTCTGCTCCCTAAATCTCATCAGAGGAAGAGAAAAAAACCTGTCTTCACCTTCCCTAAACTCTTCCTATTGAACAGAAGCCACAATTCATGAAGAAAAGACAAATTAGAGCGTAAGCAGTCAATAAACTCTCAGGTTGTTTGATGCGCCAACTAGGAAAGAATACGTAACATGAATACAATTACCATTTAAATTACCCAGTGCTTTGGCACAGTGTGCGGGGATACATGAAGATATCATGAACTCGGTCACTGACAGATTGATTTAATGTATCACCAATTTGAAGAATATTTGTGATTAGCCCCTGCACAAGTAAATGTTAAGTATCCTATGATGATTTATTGCTGAACTCAGCCTGCCCTGGTATCTTAGAGTCAGTGTGTGTGTGTGTGTGTGCACGCGCGCGTGTGCAAATACTTAGGTGTCTGTGTGTACATGTATGTGCATTGGCCCATGGAGGCTCCATGAATAGGCCAGGGTGGCCAGTCAGGGGGACCCCTGGGATCCAACCGTCTCCCACTTCCCAGAACTGGGATTACAACAGATGGCCATCATGCTTAGCGTTTCATGTGGGTCCTGGGGATTGGCCTCAGGTGGTCCTCATGCTTGCAATACAAGTTCCTCTACCAACGGAGCTGTCTCTCCAGCCTCCTTATAACCCCAGGTGAAGGAAATGTGAGATTTTCCCCAAGCCGGTAGTAATCACAAACATGTATTTGACATGGCCAGGAAAAAACGTAGCCTGAACCATTGAAGCGGACAGGGTCATCTGGTGGGGTGGATGGTGCCAGGTTCCAGATGAGGAACGGTAAGTGTTTAGAAGAAGTCTCCTTGGCTGTAAGACTTAAATTGACAAACTGATAAACAGGAGAAAAGAGGCTTGTGTGAAAGAATGTGCCAGTAAATGGGTGTATCATCACTCTTTGGGTTTGGCTGTACACAGGTCATGCATGGTTAGCCAAGTGTAAGCGTTCAATCCGAATAATAAACAACCTGCCAGGATTTATATCTTTTTTATTTTACTTATTTATTTTGGTTTTTTGAGACAGGGTTTCTCTGTGTAACTTTGGAGCCTGTCCTGGCCCTCTGTCTGTAGACCAGTCTGGTCTCGAACTCTCAGAGATCTGCCTGCCTTTGCCTCCCAAGTGCTGGAATTATAGGCGTGCACCACCAACGCCCGGCCAGGATTATATCTTAAAGAGTAGAATTGTCAACCGTTCATTTGCTAATACCTGAGTTTGGATTTCTTTAAACATCTCTCCCGCCGTTGCCAGAAACTAACCAACTCGTGGGTACTTAATAAATTTGCTTTTGCTTTTGCTCTACTTAGTGGAGGGGAGGGGATGGACGTGTATTTCGACGAAGAGGTGATAGCGCCAGGGGCTGGGCGAGCTCTCGCTGGAAAAAAACCGCGACTAATTCAGCGGAGGCGGAGCCGCTCGCCGCGCGAGCCTCCCGCCTGCAGGGGGCGCGCCGCCGCGTGGCTCCCGGCCGCTCTGGCCCGCGCGGGCTCTGCCTCTGTGGCCGGCCCCGCCCCGCCCCGCCCCGCTCGCCGCCGCCGCTGCAGGAGGAGGAGGAGCAGCTGCTGTCGCCTCTGGCCGCCCCGGGCGCAGGTACCAGGGCCGGGGCCGTGGGCAGCGGCTGGGCGGGAGGCGGTGACCCCTGCCCTGCGGGGTCCTGGCGGCCGGTGGAGCGGGACGCCGGTCCGAGCGGCTTCCCCGCGGGCGATGCTGGCGGGAGGGCCCGGGCCGGGCCTGTGTGTGTGTGTGTGCGGTGGCACTGGGGATGCTCGCATGAACCGGGTGTCCCTGTGGGAGGGGGGACACGACGACGACGTCCTAGCGAGGCCCCTAGGGAAAGGTGACGTCCTCAGCGGGGCGCGGAGGAGTCCGCGGTGTGGGCGGGCGAGCGGTGTCGGGTGTGGGGTGCGTGCGACCCGTCCACACTGTCACCGCCCAGGGGACCCGTGCATGGCGAGGCAGGGTTTGCACCCTTCCCGCTGAGGACCTTCCACGCTTGGCACGGGCCCCCCCCCAGCCACTGTCTCGGGGGAGAAGACGTTCGTTCCTGGACGGTGTTGCTCGGCCTTCACCGCTTCTCGCTCTCCAGAACCGAGCGTTGTGTGTGTGTGTGTGTGTGTGTGTGTGTGTGTGTGTGTGTGTGTGTGTGTGTGTGTGTGTGTGTGTGTGTGTGTGTGTGTGTGTGTGTGTGTGTGTGTGTGTGTGTGTGTGTGTGTGTGTGTGTGTGTGTGTGTGTGTTTTGTTTTTGGTAGCCAGGCCACTTCCTGAGCTCCGCGCTCGCTGTCGGGGGGCGTGGGTGGTGGTCGGGGTGCAGCCAGCAGCTAGCTGGCTGTCCCTGCCGGCGAAGTACCTTTATTATTTATTTATTTTTAAAACCTCTCTGCGACAACCTTTAACGAGTCCCTTATCCAATCTGCAGACAAGGAAACCGAGGCACAGAGTCTGAGTTAGCTTGTCTGAGCCCGGACAGTTGGCAAAGAGCTAAGCAGGATCCGAGAACCCCCCACTCGCTCGCCAAGACCTCACTCCCCGAATCCTGTTTTCCCGATACCTTCCAGACGCGGTGTCCCTTAAGATTTTTCGTTTGTCGATACCATTTTGTGGCCTGAAATTATTTCTTTAAGACCTAATGTGTGTGTGACAAGTACGGAAGAGCCTGTGCCACTGTCCTTTTAATTTAAAGGGAGCTTCATGCGAAAACAAGTTTGTCATTTACACCTTGTAGTAAGATTTTTTTTTCTCTTTTACCCTCTTGGCTTTTTGAGGGACTCACCGCCCAGTCCTTGTTCCTGCCTCACTATTGGCCGTTCGGCTCTTTATTGGCCCACCAGGTGTTTTAGACAGGCAAAGAATCACAGCTTCACCGAGTTAAACAAATGCAGCGTAAACAGAAGTCGCACAGCTTAAAATGATAATCCTACCACACGTGACAATACAGTTAAATGTCCGGGATCCCCCTGCCTTGGTACAGCTTGAAGTAGAAGCTGGTCGGTTGTAGTCTCACAGCAGTCCTGGTGAGCTTACCTTGCACGTATGGCATTATGCCAGACAAAGATTTTTTTTCCCCTCCCACAGTAAGCTAATGTTTTACAGAACACTGGAAAGATGTAGGAAGGCATTTGTCACATGAGGAGAAATGAAGGATTCTGGGCACATTCTTTGAGCAAAAGGAGTTACCGGCTGTAAGGTCAAAGATTCCCGACGAGAGACTGGAAATGGTTATTTCCCAATCCCAGAGATCGGGGCTTGGAAAGCCTGTCTTAGTTCCTTAACTGTTGTTGCGACAGAATACCTCGACAAAGCAACTTAAGGGAGGGGGGGCTTGTGACTCCAGGGTGCAGTCTGTCACCGTGGAGAGGTAACGGGACTCGAAACAGCCGTGGTCATCACTTTTCCTTCCCGTCTGAGGCCCAGCTGTTGAAATTCGTGTGCTGCCACAGGGAGGGTCGGTCCATCCCAATGGACCCCACTGAGGAAATCCCTCATAGGTGCGTCCAGAGGCTAACAATCTAGTACCTCCTCACTGCGACCCCTCCCCAGGGGCTTCCTTCCTGTGTGGACAGCTAAAGCTAACCATCACCAAGTCCCAACTCCTCACCCGTCCCAGGATTTAAGAGTTGCACTGTCAGAGTTACCACAGCACACAATCAGCCTGTCTTTTGTGGTGGGGGCAGTTCTAAGAACCAGGGGCATTAAGGGCGAGTAACCCCCGTCCTTGATCTAACGGAGCTGGCGATCCCCTCAGAGAAAGATGGGGATAGTAAAATAGTCTATTTAAAAGTGGAAATGCATCCAGTTAGATGCGGACGGTTTCTAAGAAGAGAGGTGAAGCAGTGAGGGGAGGAGGCGCTGGGAAAGGAGCTTGCTCAGTTTTACAGTGAGAAGGAATGGGACGTACCTGAGTGACAGGTGGGGTGGCCCTCCCGTTGTCAAGGGCGGGGTGGTATGCAGCAAACACAGAAACCGAGAAAGCACGTTTCTGTTAAAGACTTAACCAGGAGCCCCCCAGGTCTGAGCAGAGGAAGGGAGACAGGAACGGAGCCTGAAGCCCAGTGGGCACTAGGAGAGGCTGGCTTTTACTCATGAAGGAGACGGCAGAGGGTTCTGGGCGGAACGAGAGGCCTGGCTTAATGTGGTCAAGCTTGACCGTCAGAGCAAAGATGGAGTCGGAGAGATCCAAGTTAGGAGGTACCAAAGTCATTCATTATTCCAAGACGACCTTCAGGGATGCCTGAAGCCTTCAGTAACACCAGGCCCTGCACACAGAGTGCTGTTTTCCTTTACGTGTGGGCGTACGAGCAGATTAACAAAAACGCGATAAAATAGAACAGTTAATAAAAGTGCCGTGCCGCTGGGCAGTGGTGGCGCACACCTTTAATCCCAGCACTCAGGAGGCAGAGGCAGGCGGATGTCTGTGAGTTCGAGGCCGGGCTGGACCGACAGCCTCCAAAACAATACAGAGAAACCCTGTCTGGTAAAAACCAATAAATAAATAAATGTGCCGTGCCTATGGTCGCTGCCTGTGTAAAAGTGTACACATATTCGCCATCTCCTCGTGGGGTTTGAGGCCATGAAACGAAGCCCGGTGAAATGAAGCGATGCTTCGGGGTTTGCAACGTGGGCCACACGCATTGCATTACCGATGCTTGGTGGCTGACTGATGCTGAGTGAAGGGGTGAGTGATGTCTGGGCTGGGGCAGAGCTAGGTGGCTCAAGATTTCATCCTACTATTCAGAACGGTGTGTGGTTTAGGACTTAGAGTTCTTTCTGCAATCTTCCGCTCACGTTTTGGACCGTGCTTGACCGTGGGTAAGAAAGAAAGTAAAAGCGTGGATAAGAGGGGTTTGTACAGTAAGCAGCGGTCGTGTTCCAGGAAAGGATTGGCTGGCAGATTGGAAGCCGACGTGAGAACGGTGGCACATGGAGCAGAAGTCGGGTTTAGCGTTAGCCGTATTTGAGAGGCCCGGCCAAATAGATTACTAGGAACTGGGGTTCAAGACGAAAGTCTTGCTGGAAACGGAAGTTGAGTAGTCATCAGAAAGGTGATGCGTTGGCCAGTTTTTACTCAGTGTCACAAAATTCCTGATGTTAATAAGTTTGAAAGAGGAAAGATGTGTTTTATTTCCAGTTTAGAGACTCTGGTCCATCGTCTTCACTCTGTTGCTTCTAGAGCCTTTGTGGGACAAAACGTCACAGGGGTGGGAGCATGTGGGAAGGCTTGTCTCGTGGAGATGGGGGAGGGGGAGGAGAGAGAGGGAGAGGGAGAGAGAGAGAGAGAGAAAGAGAGAGAGAGAAAGAGAGAGAGAGAGAGAAAGAGAGAGAGAGAGGAAAGAGGGAGAGAGAGACGCACACACACGCACGCGCACACACACATACACACACACATACACACACACACACACACACACACACACGCACGCACACGCAGGCTCCAAGTGGCTCATTTCCTCCAGTGGGCTCCACATGCCGAAAATCTCACAGTCTCCCCCAAACAGCCCCACCAGCTGGGAACCAGGCTTCAGTACCTGAGCCTGTGGTGGGAACACTTCATTTTCAGTCCGTGACAGGTTAAGTTCAAACCGTGACAAGTTAACATCATGAGGCCGTGTGGCATCCTGACTAAGGAAATGAGAATTGAGCCATGGAACCTTTTATGCTCAGTGATGGATGAGATTAAGAAGAGCTAGGGAGGGGGCTGGAGAGACGGCTCAGAGGTTAAGAGCACCGGCTGCTCTCCCAGAGGTCCTGAGTTCAGTCCCCAGCACCCACATGGTGGCTCACAGCCATCTGAAATGAGATCTGGCGCCTTCTTCTGACTTTTGGGCATACAGACAGATGCTGTATACTAAATAAATAAACCTAAAAAATGTTTTAAAAAAAAAAGAGCTAGGGAGGAGGCGCTTTGGATTATTTGAGGGACGGGGTAAGTGTAGAAGGCCGGGGGAACGTGATGAGCCGCTGGTTTGAGTTGAAAGGTCAGATGGAGGTCCCGAGGCCGAGGGCGGGATGCTCGCCATACAAGAAACGAGCTGTCATAAGCAGAGGCAGTTACAACGCTTGAACAGAGCGGAGACAGAGTCAGACACTAACCCCCTGTGCGCTAGGGTCACCCTGCCTGTTGAAAAGCAATGGCTGTGGCCACACATGTCTGTTTAAATTTTCAACACGACGTGCCTGGCTACGGTAACTGCACCGTACAGCTCTGGGGTTCACCACAATTGCTTAAACTCTCATGTAAATCATGGCTGTAGTAAGCTAGGGGAACAGTGACAGCCGAAGGGAGAGTTAGGGCAGAAGCCTGTGAAATTGAAAGTGGGAAGTCAGGAGCCAGGGACCCCAAAGCTGCTTCCTTGGAGAAACAAATCTGTAGGCAGCCAAAGAGAAAGGGAGGCCACAGATCACGGATAGGAGGGAGCCGGCCTGGCAGCCCGTGCTTGAAACCCCAGCGCTTGGAAGATGGAAGCCGGAGGATTGTGAATTTGAGGCCAGGCTAACCTGGGCAAACAGAGACGCTGTCTCACACATATATGTGAACGAAAGGGCGCCATTGCATCAGCCCTGGAAACAGACTCAGGAACTCGTGGGTTGGGAAA